TTTGTAACTTAGTACTATTATGTAAAAATGTAAATAACTCCAAAAATATTAACTGTGCTTTCATGTAGATTAATATCTTAACAGCTTCAAACTTGCTGAACTACTTTAAATTAAAGAGCAAGATTTACTTTGGCCAAAATGCTCAAACCATAATTTGAAATATGTGTAAAAAAACTATAATATTTGTTTATATTTAAATTCTGAGTTATTTAATTTAAATGTGTTTGTTTATATTTAAGGAAAAAAAATAAAATTTTACTTCTATTTTATTAGGTTTTTGTAAACGAAAAGACAAAAAAATAATCAGCTGAAAAAATAAAAAAATTCTTTGTTAATAACCGTAATACGTGATCACATGTTGCAATATTAAAATCGGAAATCCTATATTTAAATTGGTAATACGTATTACATATATGACCAATAGGCCAAATTATATCTCCTGCTATTACAATTGTAAAATTGTAAAATAATATTAAAATTATGAATAAATTAAAAGTAAATTGGCAAAAATTCTAACCTGTATTAAGCAGTATTAAGAAAATTTTTTGATAAATTTAGATTAGATTTATGTGTAGCATAAATAATTATGTTAACGTGTACATTAATTAGTTACGAAATCACTCGTTATAAAAAGATTTATTTTTTTTAATAAAATTAAACCATTATATCATAATTTCAGATCATAAATTTTATGTTTTTATTATATATAAGAAAATATATGTATATTCTTTTTTTAAAAGAAGTGAAACAAATTATTATAGAAAAAAAATATTTTTTTAACAAAAAAATGTGGATCCTTGTGAATAATACTAAATTTTCTGTTACTAATTTCTTTAAGATTTAATTTCTATAATTTATGGAAATGATTTTTGAAATATTTTCTTATTATTTGTATAATACGCAAAATAATTTTTATTTCTTTCCGCGTCCTCCACGACCTCCTTTTTTATTATAACTTCTTTTCGGTTTAATAGGTTAATCAATTTCACCATCACACAAATCAGATAATTGGCGTTTTTTAGTTTTATTAGCATTAATAGGCGTATTATCATCTATCATAACCAGGTCTATAGAAGATTGATTTGTTCCTACTGTATCTTCTTTGTCTGAATCATTATCACTTTCTTATTCATATGCATTTTCTATTTCTGTGGTATTTGAATCCGATTTTGGGGTAATATGTGTTTTTACTGGTAAATTAGGAGTTGATTTATTCCTCCTTTGAGCAAATGAATTGGTGGTTGATCTTTGTGGTGAGGGTTGGTAATTGTTACTTGAAGTTGAAGTACGAAATCGAACATCATAATCGATCAACTTTGCATCTATCTGTACGTATGTTGTTGATCCGTCTGTATAAATTGCCTCAAGAAATCCAGCGAAGAAAAAATTGGCAAATTAACTCCATTTATCAGAAAGATATTCAAGCCATTTTGATTCACTTGAATATCCAATCTCAAAATTAATGTAACGTGCAGCAGAATGAAATGGTGAATAAATCAACGATTTGGTTTTAACAAAATTCATATTATTTGATGTTGACAATGGTTCACAAGCAGAAGTAGTGATATGAACGAACGGCTTTGTTGATGGAATTTTTTCAGGTTCCCATTTCAAACGTTCTCCATTACGTCCTAATTGAGATTCTAGCACACATGCCGCTTCAACTAAGAGCTGTTTATATGAAAAAGACAAATGAAAATATTATATTTGTAATTAATATTAAAAAAATTATTTAAATTATTATCATTTTTATAAATTTTTATAATTATTATTATTAGATTATTATCATTTTTATAATTATTATTATTAAGTAAATTATAAAATTATTATTAAAATTATTATATGTCATTATTCCTTAGATACATACAAAAATTACTTACCATTAATTTATTGTCATCAATAGTGAACTTTCCACCAAAATGGACTAAGTCCCCTTCTTTAAACGCCTCATTATAATCGTGCAGCGCGTTTGAAAACTGTTTGAATCCAAAAACAGGATTTTCATTGGAAACTTTCTCAAGATAGATAGCGTCCCCAAATGCTGTGTGAGAGGATTCTCTTAAACATACTACAAGTGAGATAACTGACAGAGTAGCGGTCATTTTTTTTAATTTTTTTGATAAAAAAAAATTGAAAGATTTTATATTATTTTGAGTGTAGAGAAAAAAACACCTGCAAACTATCTATAAATGTGAATAAAGCATTACAGATTTTTATATAATTGGTAAAGTACAAGATGAAAAAACTTGATTATCATAATTAATTGTATCACTTCAAGAAAGGGGGCCAGAGTAAAATCTACTCAATTTTGCCAGATTTTCTAAAAGGTTTTTGAAAAATCTGGTAAATTTTTTAAATCTTGAATAATTTTGGACATTTTACTGCAGATTGTAGTATTTTTCAGAAGATTTTCGGAATTTTTCTAAAACTTTTTGTACACTGAAGGGAACTCATCCATTAAAATTCCAATGGTGCATTATCCTCATAATCAAATTCTATAATCCCAAAAGTGTTAAATATCAAAATTTTATAATCCATAAGACAAATTATTGTCAAAATTTAATTAACACAAGGATCTTATTAGCAGGATTAACTGGTTAAAACTGTTTTGACCATAAATATATCAGTAATTCTGATCAGATTTACTTAATGCTGCCCAGAGACCTAGTAATTCAGTTATATGTTTCCAAACTCAAAATTTAATACCGAATTTTTTCCTATTTATTAATAATGGTAGTGATTCAAATAGTCTTTTTTCAACTAAATGTATTAGCGTTAGTAAAGTTAGTAAAATCGAAAATTGGTACAATTTTAAGTAAAAAAAAATTTTAAATATTTTTCATATTAACTGGTTAAGGTTTTTTTGGATGGTTCTAACCTCTACTTATTATTTATTTTATTTATTTTATTTTTTTTATAGAGAGAAATTGTCATAATACATGTATTATTTTGAAATTAACATTTTAAAAATTAAATTGAAAAACTATAATTTATTAATTAACGATAAAACGTTTTTTGTTAAAATTATTTAAAAATTTTTTAAATTATAGCGAAAATGCTACAACAGTAAATAATATTATAATAGCGAAATTGATCAGCAAACAAATGAAAATATGCAAATATTAAATGATGTCTCAATTTAACAGGTATTTTCAGTGGCACAGGAAGAGTTTTTGCGAAAAGTTGGCATTAGAAGTTTTTTTCATTGTCATTGACATTGACATTGTCATTGACATTGACATTGACATTGACATTGACATTGTCATTGTCATTGTCATTGTCATTTACATATTAATAAAGTTATATAAGATTAATTTGAGAGTTTTTTACCAAAAAGGAAATTTTTTTATAAAAAGAGAAATGATTTTCAATTTCGAGGCAATTCAGCAGGTGTTTTAATAACAAATTGAGAAATGATTTCCATAGAAAATCTCGTGACAAAATTTATAATAAATTTAAAAATAAAAGTATCAACAAATGATCAACAAAATTGTTACTAGTTTTATAAAAAACGCCCAATAATATCTTTTTATTGTTTTAAAATGACATAACTGATGAACTCTCTCTCCTTTCTCTCACTTTTCATCATGGAAATAATATTTCGCTCATTTTTTCATACATGTATTTAAAGAAGTTTGCCCTAAATACTCGGTTAAACACCAACTTGGTTTCCGCTACTTGTCTCTATTGGGTCCAGTGGCACTTATTCATATAGTTTGAATGACTTTGGTTATAAGGTTGAAGATTCCAAGCTGGAAGGAAGAAATTTCCATTTCGCTCAGTGGTGAAAGTTCGTTTTCTTAATAATAAGGTGTTGTTCCTGGTGATAGTTTGGTGAAGTTTCCCTCTTTACCTAGGTTTTTACTCCTTCGGGTTGGTTTTCCTAGGGTTATGAATTTTTCTTATTTTTTTTGGTGAATTTTTCTCGTCTTTCTTTTTTGCCTTCTACTTTTTGGAGTTTTTCTGGGGAGTAGGGGGGTATCCCAAAATTGATCGACATCAGGTGGTTTGTAGATCTTTTCTTTTGAGAGAGTTGGGTGTAATTTAAGGGGGGTGCAGATCTTGGTGATCAGTTTTTGGTCAGGTGAGATCAAGGTGGCACATGTTTGGACTATCATGGGTTTTTTACTTAGGCTCAAAGTTTCGCAGTTCGTCTATTAGTTTAGGCTTCCTTTGATGGTGGAATTGTGTTATGATATCTATTAATTTAGGTTTGCATAGTTTATTAACTCTGGTAATATAGTCACTTGGAGAATTTATTTTTACATCGACCAGTGTGGGGGATTTTTATCAACCAAGGGCTGGCGGTTTTAGTTCTGATAATCTGCAGGGTACGGGCTTCAACTTACCAAAACTTAGGCTTGCTTAAGCGAGAGTATGGGAGGCAGTGGCGTTATCTGGGCTTTGTGTAATGGGGTGGATTTTTCCTTATACTTCATATAGTACCTTTTTCCGGGTAAATGCCCACCGGTTTGAGTAGATTATTTTTGCGTGTAGTTTGTTAGTATTTTTGTCAATTTTGGCTTATATGTGATTTTCTACTTATAATCACGTCCATGTTAGATTTCTAACTGGAACCCATTAATAAAAATAAAAATAAAAATGACATAACTGATAATAATATGTATTTAGACGTATATATTTATACAATGGATTTAGAATGTAAAGAGCATGAAATAAGTAGGACAAAAGTACCACAAAGTATTCAAGATTGCTGTGGAAATTGTGTGAGAATTTTATGTTTTAAACAAATAAATGGAGATATTAGTAATAATAGACTTGATGAAAAAAATCTCACTTTATACAATAAGGTAATTAAAAGTGAAAGAAATTGCAAATTATGTGGAAAGTTATTATATCAAGGAACAGGTAAATGGAATAGTATATCATTTAAATTATGTTCAGTTTGTTATCGAATTTCTTCGGAATTGATAGAATCAACCTTGGTTAAAAAACAAATTTCAATTCTTTACTTACCATGGTGGCATAATTGTTTTAGGTGTAATATTTGTCATTCAGAGTTAACATTTACATCAGACTGTCAAAAATATTGTGCAAGTTGTTATATGTTTTATGTTGGATGCAGGTACTGTTTAACAACAAATATTATTTTTGGACCTATAGTTCAATCTCAATGTAAAAAATGTAAAAGAATATCAGTTATCATAAACAGCAGTGTAAAAAGTGATATTGATGATTTTCTTTTTTATAATGTTATACTTGATAATTTAGATAAATTAAAAATAAAAGTTAAGTCCGCAAATATTCCTAAATATTTTATACAAGACAGTATATTGGGTTATATTTTTAGAGAAAATTATGGTGAAATTAAATGGATATCATATTCTCAATTTACGGATTTTAAAGAAATAGCAAAAGGAGGATATGGTATTATATATAAAGCAACTTGGTTGAGTAACAATGAAACTATCATTCTAAAAAGATTTAATAATTCTAAAAATATTGGTAAATATTTTTTAAATAAGGTAAATAATTTAAATATCAATAATTTCTTATTAAATAAATTTAATTTAATTAATTTAATCTAAATTTAATAGTTAAAATCATTACAACATTGTATGATAAATAATTACAAATTAATTCGAACTTATGGCTTTACAAAGGATCCTAAATTAGAAGATTATATATTAGTTATGAAATATGCGTCAGAAGGAGATTTACATAAGTATTTACAAAAGAATTTTACATACATTAAATGGAATGAAGTATTAAGTTTTTTAGTGAAAATTTCAAAGGGGTATTTATGTTTTATATTTTATATATCTTATATTCTTTAAATTTAGGTTATTAATTATTTTTTACTTTTAGACTTGAAAACATTCACAATGCAGATTTTATACATCGAGACTTCCATAGCGGAAACATATTATTTCTTGTCGATAGTATAAGTATGGCCAGATGGCAATCAAAAAAATGTAGTATAGATGTTAAGATTGGAGATCTAGGGTTATCTCAAGCTGTAAATAGCAAAACATCAAATAATGAAATATATGGAGTAATACCTTATATTGCGCCTGAAATATTTAAAGGATCAGAATTTTCTAAAGAAGCTGATATTTATAGTTTGGGCATGATTATGTGGGAATTTACAACGNTTATATTGCGCCTGAAATATTTAAAGGATCAGAATTTTCTAAAGAAGCTGATATTTATAGTTTGGGCATGATTATGTGGGAATTTACAACGGGCTGTAAACCTTTTGATAATGTTAAACATGATCATAATCTTATTTATAAAATTCTTGATGGAGAATGACCTAATATTACAGAGATACACCGGAATGTTACGCTAATTTAATGAAAAGTTGTTGGGATCCCGATCCCAAAAAGAGTCCTTCTATAGGAACAATTAATTTAACTCTTAGAGATTGGGTGTTTGGGATAAAATTACTAAAGCAGAACTTAATCAAGCAAATGCAAAAAGAATGGAACTTATAAAATCAAAAAAAATTGGTCCCGAATTCGCTGAAAGACGACATTCGGGAGCCATTTATGCAAGTAGGCCATTAAGCGCTTTAATTTCTAAATATTCATCCACTTATTCATCTTCAGCAATTTCGTTTGGTAAGTTATCACGAAAAAAATTATTGTAAATTAAATATTTTATATGAAATTTATATGCAATTTATAAGAAAAACGTTATACGTTTTAGATTCCAATTATATCTCAGCAGAATTGGAGCTTGATATTGACACTGAAAGGTATTTAAACTTATATGAAAAGAGACTTTCAAATTAATACTACTACGATTTGAATTTATTAATTTTTTATTTCATCATCACAAAATTTTAAGTTCTAGTGCAGTCCAAAATTTTTCAACTTCTTTAAAACAGAGAAAACATGAAGTACTTACAAACTTTGAAACTCATGACAAAGGCGGTAAATATTACTTATGTTTAATATTTGTTTTAATATTTATTCTTATTCTATTTTTATCTTTTTAATCAAATTTAAAATGTACAAAATAGGAAAACATATTAAAACTAGTTCTAGTTATCCATAGAACTATAAAAGAATAAATATTTCTTTATTCTGCAGATGTAGAATATGAAGGAACTTATTGATAAAGGATTTCCATTATAAAAGAAAATAATATAAAGAAATTAGAATCCAACTATTTAGTTGCAATTTTTTCATTTCATATTAAGATCACAATTAATAATATGATGTATATTATCATTAATGTATTTATATAAATAAATCAACTTTTTTATATTTTAAAGGAATTACAAAATTAATATCATTTGTTTCTGGCGCTATTTTGAAAGTCACTAGACGATGGAATTTAAGATGAAGCGTCAAATCTTAATGAATACGAGAGAGCATCATATCAATAAATTTATGAAATCCTTCAAAGTTTACTATAAAATAAAAATTAGTCATACATTATTTACGTAATTTCAGACTTTTATTATATGTGAATATGTTGTTTAAAATAGTTTTTACAGTTAATTGCACATAAAACAACTTACGAGATTTATTGAAGCATCAAAATTTATTATATTTTATGTTCACTATAGCGAGCTTTTGATGAAAATTCTAAATTCTAGATGGTAGATAAGCAAGTGTAACATAGATTGGCTAAGCGTGCAATGACTGCAACGTCGTAACGAGAAAAATAGGGATAAAGGTATAATAACTAGGGAACGGCTATTGCGATTTCAATGAATGACGTCACGTGGGACAGAGGAATTCACGTGATCGATCATTTTTCATAGGACGTATCAGTCGCTCCGGTCAATTATATCAGCCACAAGAACTCTTTCCCCTTTTTTTATTTTTGTTAGTTTTCTGCAGTAATTCTGCACAAGTTAGTTTAGTTTTTTTAGTTTCTATTTGAAACACCAAAGGGGGAGAGGCCCAGACGGGCGCCTCTATCTTTTACGAGGTTTTTAGTCCTTTTTATATCCTATATTATAAAGGAATATGTCTTCTATACCTTATATTGAAATAGACTGGTCTTCCACTCCACGACAACCTTATGTTCAACTCGGTGACCCTACACCACCTGAAAATGACTCAGCTAACATATTACATAATACTGAGCTTACAACTGTACTTTCCTCTGAGGATATTTTTTTCCTTGATATTGATGATATCTATCCTTATACGTACTCAACTCTTCATCTTGATGACAATGAAATGGAAGAAACCTATGATGACGAAGACTACTTCGAACAGTTACTAAACGCTGAAATAGAAGAAATTAGCTGTATTAAACATGATACACCCTCGATTTCTAGTACTCCTTTAACTCCTATCCAGGACAATATTCCCTTACCGCCTCCGAATACTGCGCCTATCTCAGATAATTTACTCAAAGTCAGGAAAAATACTACCCTTCAGGTCTCCCCGGAAAAATTCCATGTGACTACGCCAAAACGATCAGGTTATAATGAGATTTATGAAATCCGCAGATCTAAGATGACCGTTCTTGATAAGGACAGTTACAACAAGAAATCTTTACACAAAATACGTAATATTTTTGCTTATTCATTTCAAACTCACAAGCTTAATCCATACATAGTTATGGATACACGAGGTAGTGGTACCTTGTATAACATCAAAAAAAGTAGATACTTCCTTATGGAGTTACACCCAAATGCTGATCTTTGTTTAACTAAGAAAAATTCTTTCAACGTTTACACCAATGATATTGATATGCCTAATGATCATCAGAGGATCTTCAACTCAACTAGTAAAAAAGTCAATCTTAATTACTTAATAGGGACATATCTCACTTTTATATTTTCTATCAACAGACAATTTTCACCTGAAATTGTGCAAAAGTATTTTAAACGTTTACGCCAACTATTAATAGATAAATTAGTAGCGATTAAAAATAGACTTTCTTATTTGGCTAAAAATAGACAAACCAAAACTTATATCCGGTTCAGTTCTGGAACTCACGTGATCTATCTTGGATTTTATTTTCGCTGTAGTCATACTTGCACCCAACCAGCGGCCTTTGTACTTCCAAATAATCAATGGCAATGCAATAAACATTTTACTCCTATACCGGAGTTAAGAAAAAAAACCACACATCGGAAAGGAAAAGATCACAATACTGTTAATTTTAATCCATGGAAAGAAGTTCACTCAACACGTTTAGGTTTAAAATATAACGTAATCGTTAAACGTTATAATAAATGGAAAGGAAAGAATAATTCTGATCTAAAAGAGGTGATGGAACCTATTACAACTAATAGAAAAGGTAAATCTACAACTAGACCCTTTTATAAAGAATATAAAGATCTTGAGTTTTACGATAATAGAACACCACAACAAGTCAAAAGATGGAATCGTTTAAAAGAGTCGACTATCAAACATGAAAAACACTTATCTCATTGTAAACCCTTTTTATTAAAAGAAAATTCTACGGTATTTAAAAAAGTATCTCATCTTGTGAAACGGGATCCCTCATATGAGAAATCTGAGGAGGATAAATTATTGGATCAACTTACCCGAAAACGTGCCAAGAATTGGCGACGGCGTGTTAATAATTGTAATAAACTCAAGAAAAAGTTACCTGAACTACCTGTTGATTTTAGTGGTGATGCTCAGAATTATTATTTTCAAACATATAACATCAATTTATTCGCTTATAAAGTTAGAAGGCGATATGATTTGTCCAACATTCCTCAATGTCAATATGGCTATTTGAAGGCCAAGAGGCTTTATAATAATCATATGGATCGCAAAAATTTACGTCCTCCTATTATTAGACAATCATCTCCTCCTCAAATTATTAGTCAACCCATACAACCTGAAATTGATTTTGTTGTGGATTACGCTTTGAAAGTTGTTCAATATGAAAATGCACGAGCTAAGTTAGCTCTTCATGAAAATCCTACTGATTTTAAGACACTTGCTCCGTTACTTGTTAAACCTACATTACCGTCAATGGTTTATCCTAGCGCAAAAGAAAAAGCTCGTTTAAATGCTTTAGCTAATGATGAGACATCCTCACCTAATTCTAATCAATCTATTAATGATTTACTCCCGAGACAAATAGCACGACCTCGGTCTAAAAAGAAAATCCTTTCTACGGATACCGTTGATAATTGTAATACACCTCCACCTGGTCCTAGTCGAACTACTACTGATTCACCCCCGAGACTTATTGCGTGACCTCGGAGAAGGAAATATGATTTACCACCTACGCCTGAGTCAGACATTTACCCTTTTAAATAATAGTACGCTCAAATTTGAATAGATATCTAAATCTTAATTGACACAAAAATTTTAATAGAAACCCAAATTTTAAAAGACACCCAAATTTTAATAGATACCCTAATTTTAATAGACACCCAAAAATTATATACACTGACATAAAAAACAATTATGGACCTTTTTATAATACATCATTTTGTATATGACAGTATTTACATACAATAGCTAGTAATAGTTAAAAGAAAAATACGCATGATAGATTAGAACTCTTTTTTTAGTTTTGTTCGTCCTCGATTTCATGGTCTCTTTTTTTTTGACCCTACCTGCTCCTTCATCGGTCGTGTTGTTGGAGTAGTCTATGGTATATAATAATTAGTTTGGGTCTGCCACACAGGTAGATGATGGACTAAATGTTGGACGCAATTCTTGTAATTAATGCTCTCTTAGAATAGTCCTTCCGACTTTACATAAAATAAAATAAAATAAATTATATCAGCCACAGCTCAGCTTAGCCAGCTAAGCCATTTAATTTTTATGCTTAAAACATTCATAACTGTTTGCACAACTATATCTGATATCCATAAGAGTACAGTATGAGAAACGCTGCGGCATTTATTTGGTGTACATAATTAAAAATCTACCACATTAACCGGTTACATTTGTTGATCAATAATTACACGGGCGCTTTTAAATGTTGAATTGTTTCGAAATGAATTAACATTTGTTATTAAGTTATTAGTAAACTAGGAGAAATTCAAATTTAGTGTGTTCACTCATATGCACGTTTAGAAATTATATGTAATGTCAAATTCTTTATATTGTTACAATGAAGGTCTTGAACCTTTAAGAGTTCAGACAATTTGGAAACAAATAATGTCTTATAGTTTTATATCCAAAAAATTGAATCATATTCTTATTAAAAAAAAAATGTTAAAAATGTATGAAGAATGGTTTGGACGTATCGGTCGTATCATTGATTCGGATTTTCAGTTAAGGATAACGCAAATAATGCCCCGTAAAAAAGTCGATCCGTTTCTTTTTTCCGTAAAAGGCTCATATTTCCGGAATTAATAACCTTATACAGTATCAGGAATTTATCCATTTTCCGTGAATGAATCCAATAACGGATAAAATTTTTTATAGAGATGGAGTCACATTTATTTACGATTTATTTACAATCTAAACTAATTTGATTGAATTTTTTTTCTGTTTAGAACATAAATTATTTATTAGTTGAATTGAAATGTTTTCTATTATGACATACTATTTGTTTATTCACTTGATTGATTTATTTTTTGTCAATTTGCTTGGTGACGCGAAAACTTTTGTGATACATTCTGCTTTAACAATTAACGGATAAAGAACAATTTTCTGCAGGAGTAGATGCATCTGAAAGAATTAAAGAAGTCAAATAAAATTGTGAGATATAATATATAAATAAATAAGTTGTGTCTCAGATATATAAGGCACAACATATACATACATTTAGAATGAGTAAAGTTCGTTTTAATCATTATTATTACACATTCATTCAAAATCATTTTATAGATATGTTTGGCGTATCTTAAACTAATAGTATCACGAATTCATTGGTTGTACGAAATTTTTTTCGACTTTAAATGTAAAAAAAAAGGGAATAAACATTTTTTTCCTATTATCATTCAAATAATGAACTTTCCATTTTCAATATTTATATACTTGCCGATCATTTATCCGAAATTTTGCTTATTCCTAATTAGCCAGGATAAAATTGATTTATCTCCTGCCATTTACACAATAGTAAGTGTTTTATAATATACTGTATTATTGTTGAATCCTATTTTCTTTCACTTGGTTTTTTTTCACTTTAAAAGATATTACACTTGAAAAATATTATTAAGATTACGAATAAAATAAAAGAAAGTTTTTCCCATTTTGAAAATGCAAATCTTTCTGAATTACTTAAATTTTCAAATCCGTCTATTATAGTATAACCAATAGTTAATTTTTACTGCAAGAAACGGATAAATACATATAAAATTTGCTTACCCCAGTAGGTCCTATAACTACATTGTGTAAATGGTGCCGATCAGGGGATAATTATTTATAAATCTGTGTATTGTGTCACAACGTAATGTTTGTTGTGATAATGATATGATTACAATTGTATCATATGCCACAAAAAATACATTTAAATGTTTTTCTTTCATTTATGCATTTGTCCTTCGTTAAAGTTACTTCGAGATGGACTTTCTGTAGTACTAATTAAATTCCATGAGGAAATCTAGAAAAACTTTCCATAACGCCAACAGAAAGTTCTATCATTTCAAACTCTTATTACATTTAGCTATAAATACAGTATGTCAAAAATTCCAAATTGATTATCTTTATCATAACTAACATTTATAATAAAATGGAATTTACAAACATAAACAATGAAAATTCCTTTGATCCAACACCAAAATTGAAATCTAGTCCTATACCAATTAAATTTGTTTCTTTTAATCATGAAGATATAAAATGTATTAATTGTGGAGAAAATTATATAAAGGCACATTTTTATTGGCAATATTATTGCAAAAAATGCTTAATAAGTTATCTTAACGAAGTAACTGATAATAATTTATACTTAGACGTATATTACACAATGAAAGTAAAATGTGATGAACATGAAATAAGTCAGATAAAAGTACCAAAAACTAATCAAGAATGTTGTGGTAATTGTTTGATAATTTCATATTTTAGACAAATATCTACTTATAACTATCAAATGATCGAAAGTGAAAAAGATTGTGTATTGTGTGGGAAATCATTATATCAAGGAAATGACAAAAAGATTACTCGTCAGTGTAAATTATGTTCAGATTGTTATTTAATTTCTTCTGAATATATAGAATCAACCTTGGTTAAAAAGAAGATTTTCATTCTTTATTTACCATGGTGGCATGTTGATTTTTGGTGTAAAAATTGTCTATCAGAATTAATATTTACATCAGATTGTCAGAAATATTGTGAACATTGTCTCATATTTTATGTTGGATGCAGATACTGTCTAACAACAAATATTGTTTTTGGACTTACGGGTCAAACACAATGTAAAAAATGTAAAAGAATATCACTCGTCAAAAATGGCGATAGAGAACTTGATGATTTTCTTCTTAATAGTAATATATATGATAATTTAAAGTTATCTGAATTCATGAATACCGTAAAGAGTATAGACAAATATTTTGATCCATTAAGTTTATTTAACTCTATCTTTGAAAAAAAAAGTATTATAGAACCAATTAAATGGATACCATATTCTCAATTTACAAATGTAAAAGAAATGACAAGAGGGGGATTTGGCATTATATACCAAGCAACTTGGTTAAGTAATAATGAAACCGTTATTTTAAAAAGATTTGAAGATTCTAAAAATATTGATAAATATTTTTTAAATGAGGTAAATGTTTTTAAATACTTTCTTGAATAATATTAAAAAAAAACAAATTTAATTCTTAATTTTTAATTTGGTAGTTAAAATCATTTCAATATTGTTTTGGATTAGACAACGAACATATTATCAAGCCTTATGGCTTTACAAAAGATGCTGAATTAGAGGATTACATATTAGTTATGAAATATGCAGCAGAAGGAGATTTACACAAGTATTTGCAAAATAATTTTGCGAAAATTACATGGGATAAACAAAAACTAGATATTTTATGGCAAATTTCAAAGGGGTATTTATATTTTAAATTTATTTATTATATTCTTTATGTTTAGGTAATTAATTATTTTTTTTTTTTTATTTATTTATTTAGTCTTGAAACAATTCATAATAAAGATTTTATGCATCGAGATTTTCATAGTGGAAACATATTATTTGATTGTTCTAGTGATGAAGAATGGGAAGATAATAATTATTTTCAATGGAAAATTACAGATTTAGGATTATCACAGTCTGTAAATAATAAATTATCAAATAATGAAATATATGGAGTGATACCTTATATTGCACCAGAAATATTTAAAGGATCTAAATTTTCAAAAGAAACTGATATTTATAGTTTTGGTATGATCATGTGGGAACTTACAACAGGCTGTAAACCTTTTGCTAATGTTGAACATAGTATTAGTCTGATTTTTAAAATTCTTGATGGAGAACGACCCAAAATTACAGAAGATACACCTGAATGCTATGCTAATTTAATGAAAAGTTGTTGGCATTCTGATCCTCAAAAAAGGCCTTCAATAAAAAAAATTCGTTTCACTATTGGTAATTGGATTTTTAAAAATAAAAATAATGAAGTATTTAATCAAGCAGAGGAAAAAAGAATAGAATTGGTAAAATTGAAGAAGATTGGGCCAGAATTTACTGAAAATCGTCATTCGGAAGCCATTTATACAAGTAGACTATTAAGTGCTTTAATTTCTAAATGTGCATCAACCAATTCATCTTCTTCAATTTCATTTGATAACAAAAATGGTATTTAATTATTATTAAAGCTAATTGTAATTTAATAAAATATTACATAATTTATAAAAAATATGTTATTTTTTTTCTTTAGATTATAATCATGATTATATATCAGCCGAACAAGAGCTTGATATAGACCTTAAAAGGTATTTAAAAAAGAATGTCATTTTTTACTAATTATTTGGATTAATAATTTTTATTTTTGTTTATCATCACAAAATTTAAGTTCTATGATTCAAAATTCTTCAACCTCTTTAAAAAAGAGAAGTAATGAAGTGTTTTTAAATACTGAAATTCACGATAATGGTGGTAAATGTTTACTTTGACGTTTTATTATTATTTTAATTCCTTTTTTTTTTTTTTTTTTTTTTTTTTGTTTAATATTCTATTGTTAATATTTATTTTTTTTATTTCAATCAAATTTTAATATTTAATAGGGAAACGTATTAAAACTCACAAATGATCGGATAGGGTTTAGCTTAAAATAAGCAACTTTTCAGGGTAAAAGAAAAATTTTTCTTTTTACGATCTTGTTTTTTTCAAGAACCTCGATTCAATTATCCAATGATTCTTATCGAAGATTTTATTGTTAGAAACTAATAGGAACCAATTTGCAAATTTTTTTTTAATTTCATATATTATGTATTAATTAGATAATACTTATGATAAATTTAACTATCTAGTTATATTTAGAGGAATTTTAAATTCGAATATTTACGCTAGTGGCCCGGGAATTGTCCCAGACTAGACCTGGATAGGAAATCCTTAAACGATAAAATGTGTAAAATGCAATTGTATAAAATTCATTACTTTTTAAAATTTAACATTTATTAATAAAATAATGTGTATAATAAAGATCATATTATCAAGTTTTTACTATTCTTTATGATTTGAATAATATTTAACGTGACACTTGACTTTTTTTGCCATACTGTAATGTTTTATTTTATCCAAAAAATTATATAAGAATACACTTTTTGATTAAGTGATTAACATGATCATTTGACTCCAATACTTTTATGAAAAACCTATTAATAGTTCATATATGTCGCATAATAAGAGCACGGAAAGGGCTTTAAAATTACTTTAAAACCAGTAATGAGAGAAAGATAATGCCAGAAAGGAATTAATAAAAAAGTGGCTTGAAGATAGGGTACAGTATAAAGAACATAATAAAAGGTGAGATAATTATGGTCAATTAACTAGTTAAAAAATGTTCATAAACATTATATATCAAACATCTATTACAGCATATTTATGGATTAGTTTGAGGAACCAGTTGGTAAGCTGATTGAAGTTCTTGATTAATAAAGTTAATTTGCACAATCATAGTTTTCAATTTTCTAAGAAACACAGATTTAATTCTAGCAATAGTGGAAAATACTAAATGATTTGGAAATTTTTCATCCCATCTTTCGTATCGAGACGTGAAATATTATTGAATCATTAAAAGATTAAATAACTGATTATTTAACATTGAACTTAATTGAATTACAGAGTAAAAATTAATCAGTTCGAGATAAATCATGTAATACGTAATAAAAGTTATTAATAAAAGTTAAAAACAAATTCAAATATGAAAGAATTTTGTGTACACTTTATTGTCTGGAGAATTTAATTTAAAAAAGCTCTTTCCCGGGATTAAATTACAAATTAAAATTATATATAATAAACTATTTATTCTTTTATTCGGCTTTTTAAAGAAATGATTTCGTGTCATTTAAACTTTTTTGGTTAACCATATCTACTTTAATTATTAGCCACTAAAAGTGAAGACATATGTTGAACAAAGTTCATTTAATCCAAGATATGGACAAATGATAAGTTCTTACTACGCAAGTTATCACATAAGATATTCATTATTGATAATTTCTTCCTAATTTTTAATTTATATTCATGAGAATTTTTTTTCACGAAATGATTTGCTACGACATCCCGTATACCGACCATGTGATGATTGGTGCATATTTATTAAAGGAGCGATACTCACATGCAGAAAAAAAATATCAGTAACACCTGTTTATGAATCCAATGAAAATTCATAGCCAGCAATTTGTGTAAATTAAACGACATCAGATAACAACAAACTACACAAACTATTAATCAAGCTAACAATCAGATGAATAATTATAAAGCTTTTCCTAATGAATTTCATCCTGCGGAAAGCTCAAGTTTATATAAAACGCTGCGGCATTTCCTGTGCTTTAATTCACAAAGTAGTACAAACCTAAATTTTTACCATTTAAACTAAAGGTTGGAGAATTGGGTTACAAAGTTGATCAGGAATTACACAAAACGCTTAAATTAGAATAATTAGAATACAAAATGCATATAAATTCTCCTGAATTTTTTTTTTTTTTAAAAAAAAAAAAATTGGAATCTTATTCAAAAATGATTTTCGAATTTTATCCAAGGTTGTCACAAAATTTTTCTCAATTATTTGATGATGCAGATGATTTTAATGTTATTCTTAAAATTGGTGAAAATTCGGATACTAAAGAATTTCGTGCTCACTCTATTATCTTGAGAGCTCGTTCTTCTTATTTTAAAAGAGCTCTTTCTCAGGATTGGGCTACAATAGAAAATAATATATTTACTTTTACCAAACAAAATATTTCTCCTATTATATTTGAAATGATTATTAGGTGACTCTTTCTTTTTGCTTTCTCCCAAATAATAATATAAAATTTATTATTAATTTTTTTCTTTTAATTTAGATATATGTATACTGGTATTCTTGATTTGAAAGAAAAGGATATCTCAGACGTTCTTAATCTTCTTGTGGCATCTGATGAATTACTCATTGATGAATTGGTTACTTTTATACAAAATTACTTGATTGAAAATCAAATTGAATGGTTAATAAATAATTACGTCAAGGTTATTCACACAATATTTAAATTAGAAAGTTGCAAACATCTTCTAGATTATTGCTTAGAATCTATCTGCAATGATCCAGAACCTTTTTTTAATTCTCCAGAATTTCTAACATTAGAAAAAAATATTTTACTTGAATTAATTAAACGTGATGATTTACAAATTGATGAAATTGAATCGTGGAATAACATCATTAAATGGGGAATTGCTCAAACTTCGGAATTGGATAATAAGAATATAACCGATTTAGATAAGTGGAACAAAGAAGATTTTATATCTTTAAAGAATACTTTAGACCCATTTATCACTCATATCAGGTTTTTTGATATTTCCTCAAAAGATTTTCATAATAAGATTCGGCCTATTAAAAAAGTGTTACCTAAAACACTCTTCGAAGATATTCTATCATTTTATTTGACTGAGATTCAACCAGAAAATAGTTTACCTCCTCGTTGTGGAAAAGTTACCATCGATTCAATAATCATTAAATCAAATCATGCCGCCATCCTTGCTAATTGGACTCAAAGAAACGATGCTAATGCAAGAATTCCAAAGGATAAATATAACTTTGACCTCATTTATCGTGGAAGTAGAGATGGGTTTAGTATTACCACCATGCGTAATAAATGTAATAGAAAAGGAGTAACTATTTTAGTTATTAAAGTCAGAGAAAACGGAATTATAATTGGTGGTTATAATCCTTTTGGTTGGAATTATAGTAAAATCCCTTTATTTGAACACAATTATTATTGGAATAATACCACGGAGAGTTTTATTTTTTCTTTAGGTGATGGGAAAAATTTTAAGAAAGTTAAGATTAGTCGAGTTACCAATGGAAAAAATGCAATATACGAATCTGATAGTAGAAATATTGCTTTAAACTTTGGTAATGGCGATTTAGTTATTAACGGAACAAATGGTACATGTAATCAAAAAAATTATGAAAGTAAAATTTTAGATGATACGAATAATTTTTCAATTGAAGAAATGGAAATCTTTAGATTTTATAAAAATTGAATTTAAAAACTTTAACTTAAATTTTCAGTATATTTACTCAAAGATTATAAAGTATTTTGTATTTATTTTATTTATTTAATAAAATTTGGAATCTTATTTTAAAACCTATAATTTTCATTGTATTTATTGTATTTCAAAGAAAGATGGTTACATTTATTTAAAATTATTAATACATTATTTATTAAGATAAATTTAAAAATAAATTAAATCAAGAAAATAGATTTTGATAGATTCTTTATTCATAAATTAATATGTTAAAAAATTAAAAATATTAAATACAATCAAAATGATCTAAAAGATTGTAACAAAAATTAATAGGTAATGAATATAAGAAAGCATACCGAAATGATATTCCGGATATCGTAAGAATATGTTCGAGAATTGTGAAAGATTTTGAACGTCGGTTACGGATATGTTCTTATCTGTTATTACATATACGGTGATATACGTTAAAAGGATAGGCTTATAATATCAAAAATGTCAGTCATATGTCATATTTTGTTATATAAATTATCTTTTATACATAAAATTCTTCTAAAAAAATGAATTAGAAGTTTTCTTAAACAAAATTCTATAATTTCTATTACAATTGGCTCCATCATTGATAATCATTAATAACAATATGGCAATAAAAGAATAAATATCTGCAAAAAAAATTTTCTTTCTTAGTTAAACCTTATTAAAAAGAGCTCTTTCACAGGATTGGGTTACAAAGAAAAACAATATGCTTAATCTTACTTAACTGAATATTTCTCCTACTATAGTTGAGATTATTCTTAGGTAATTATATTTATATTATATTAAATTTAATATAATTATTTATTTTTATTTTTTATTAGATATATAAATAATTTTACAATTTTCTAATTTAAATATTGTGTGAAGAACTTACCATTCGTTTTTTCAATCAAAGTAATTTTGTCGCAAAAGTAACCAATTCCACAATAAGTAATTAGTTTTTCAGAAGCCAAAAAATGATCTCGAATATCTGAGCAATATTTATGGAAAAAGAGGATTTTTTGGCTTTGAAAACCAATTTAGTTCATAATATTATATTCTTCAAAAGATTTTCATAGTAATATTCGACCTTTTAAGAAAGCGTTACCCAAAGCTCTTTTTAAGAATATTGTATCATTCTATTTGACCGAAATTCAACCTGAAAATATATTACCTCCTCGTCATGGAATAATTTCTATTGATTCAATGATTATTAAACCAAAATATATGCCGACATTTTTGCTAGTTGGATTCAAAGGAATGATGTTAATGCAAGTATTCCAAGAAACAAATATAATTTATCGTGGAAGTAGAGATAGCTTTGATATTGTCACAATTCGTAGTAAATGTTTTGGACAAGAAGCGTGTATTTTATTTATCAAAGCCAAAAAAAAAAAAATGGAAATATAATTTGTGGAATAATGGTGGTTATAATCCTTTTGGTTGGAACTACTCTAATAATAATATTTATCATAGTTATTATAATAATCCTTATTTTACTTTGTATAATGGGAAAATTTAAAAAAGTTAAGATCAGTCGATAATTATGCGATACATGAATCATAAAATATGAACAATACGGTATTAAATTTTGGTAATAGTGATTTAATTATTAATGGCGATAGAGGCATGCAAACAAAGCAATTATGAGGTTAGTATTTTAGAAAAAAATGATTTCTCAATTGACAATATATTTATTAAGATTATAAAAATGTATTTTTTTTAACTAAAATGTGTTTTTGTGTACAACTTATAATTTTCACAATGAGGTTAATTATTATATGAAAACATCATTATTTGTTTTTTGAAATACGGTAAAGTTATTAGTATAATATTTATTTATTATGACTAAAAGTGCATTCGTAAATTTAATCTAAGAAATAAATTATAAATAAACTCTTTCTTTGAAAGTTAATAGGTAAAAAATTAAAAATATTAAGTACAATCAGAATTATCTAAAAAATTGCAACAAAAATATTAAATATATACCGGAATTTCAATATAAAGAATTTGTATTCAAGAAGGATATCGTACTAAGATGATATTTCAGATATAATAAAAATATGTTCAGGAATTATGAATTCCATACCAACAGTACTTTTGAACACTTAATTTTTCTTTGATTACTATTATAATACATATTCGTTAAGAAGATAGGTTTAAAATATCAAAAATGTCGGTCATTATGTCATGATTTGTTTAATTAAATTAGCTTTTTTTAGCTTTTACACATGAAATTCTTTCTAGATAATGAATTTAAATTTTTTAAATAAAATGCGTTTTATAAGTTTTAGAATGATAGAGTTAGTTCCATCTTTGATGGCAATAAGAATAAAATACGGTAAGCATAGTATGAAGATTGGAACCTGCTAAAAAATCCTTTAACTTAGTTTTTAATTATTTACTTCTTCTATAAAATATATTAATAGCGATTACAGTCGTGTAAAAAATTTTATTCGTAAACTCCATGAATTTATACATTTACGGAAATAACATGGAATAAAAAATATTTGTATAGGGAATAAATCCAAAACGCACAAAGGGGGCTACTGTAGAACTACGAAAAACGAAAATTCACGTGAATTTTTATGTCATACCCCCTACACAATTTTTTCAAAAAATATTGTTCGTCACTCCCTATAGTGCCACACGTACACCATGCTTAATTCCAGCCGAATGTTGTAATGCCGGCCTTTTCATGCCATTTTTTCGCTGACTGGTTAGATGCTGCGGCATTTCTTTTTTTATGTTGCAATGCGGCAATCTTTATGTGATAAGTTTCTAGATGGAATTGTTTGTATTACAGTGTTGATCACAAGGCGCCCAAACTTAAATGTTTGTTGAACAATTCCCACGATACATTCTATTTCTTGCAAAAGAAAAAAAAATTAGAATTCGATACAAAAATGACTTTTGAATTTTATCCTAGATTGTCTCAAAATTTTTCTCAATTGCTTGACGAGGCAGACGACTATAATGTTATTATTAACGTTGGAGAAAATTTAAATACAAAAGAATTTCGTGCTCATTCAAATATATTGAGAGTTCGATCTCCTTATTTTAAAAGAGCTCTTTCGCAGGATTGGGTTATAAAGAAAAATAACATGATTAATTTTACTAAACCAAATATTTCTCCTATTGTATTTGAGATGATTATTAGGTAATTATTTCTTGTATTTTTTTTCCTCGTACGTAATTAAATTATATAATGATTATAATTTTTTTTTAGATACATGTATACTGGTGTACTCAATTTGAAAGACCAAGCCGGCTTAGATATTCTTAATCTTCTTGTAGCATCCGATGAATTACTTATTGAAGAATTAGTTACTTTTGTACAAAAATACTTAATCGAAAATCAAACTGAATGGTTAAAAGATAACTTCGTCAAGGTTCTTCACACAGTATATCAATTGGAAAGCTGTAAAAAACTTCTGGATTATTGTTTGGAGTCTATTTGTGAAGATCCAGAACCCTTTTTCAATTCATCAGAATTTCCAACATTAGAAAAAAGTATTTATCTTGAATTAATTAAACGCGAAACTTTATTAATTGATGAAATTGAACTGTGGAATAATCTCATTAAATGGGGAATCGCTCAAACTTCTGAATTAAGAGGAAAGAATACGACAAATTTGAATCGTTGGAATAAAGGAGATTTTTCGGCTTTGAGGAATACTTTGCACCCATTTATCTTACAAATCAGATTTTTTGAAATTACTTCAAAAGATTTTTATTATAAAATTTGGCCCTTTAAAACAGTGCTACCCAAACCACTTTTTGAAGATATTGTATCGTTCTATTTGTCCAAAATTCAACCTAAAAAAAATAAATTGCCTTCTCGTTATGGAAAGATTCCTATAGAATCAATTATCATTAAACCAAAACATGCCGCCATCCTTGCTAACTGGACTCAGAGAAACGACGCTAATCTAAAAATTCAAAAAGATAAATATCATCTCAACCTTATATATCGTGGAAGTAGAGATGGTTTCGATATTAATACTATGAGAAATAAGTGCAATGGACAAGGAGCATGTATTTTAGTTATTAGAGCCAGAGAAAACAGAACTATAATTGGTGGCTATAATCCTTTTGGTTGGACCTATTATAATAATAACGGTTATTATAACCAAAATTGTTATTGGAGAAATACTACAGAAAGTTTTATTTTTTCTTTTGGTGATGGAAAAGATTCAAAGAAATTTAGAATTAGTCGAGTTACCAATCGGAATTGTGCGATATACGAATCTAATTATACAAATATTTCTTTAAACTTTGGTAATAGCGATTTAGTTATTAACGGGGCAAATGGTACATGCAACCAAAGCTATTATGAAAGTAACATTTTAGATGATACAAATAACTTTTCAATTGATGAAATGGAAATCTTTAGGTTTTACTAATTTTAATTTTTATCCTTATAGATAATTTTAATCTTAGTTCTTTTTGTTTGCTACTTTATTTAACCATTCAATTTATACAATTTACGATTTTTAAATAGAACTTGAAAATTTATTTTAAATTATTCTTTGTCTTTTTTATTGCTTAACGATGTATACAGTATGTTTATGGATGGTTTTTTTACATGGATTTTTTTCTTAGAATATGATCGTCACAAAAAAAAAAATTCCTTACAATTGAAATGTAAATACCCTTACGATGTTTACGATGTGACGATTGTAACGTTACAAAGAATTTTTTTTATAGTAAAAATTGCGTACATATACTAAACCCAAAATGTAATAATCTGCACTTGTTTAATGCACTCGTGACCAAATAAAGTTACATGAGCGTCCACAAAATAAAATTTCTTTTGTTCTTTTTTTTTTCTTTTAAAAATTTTCCTTTAAAAAATAAGCTCTTTATATAAGCTAGAATTCACGACCCTTGCTTTTAGTATGGCTTCCGAATTTTTCCCTGAATTATCGCAAGATTTTTCTCAATTGCTTGCTGATGATACCAATGATTATAATGTTGTTATTAAAGTTGGAGAAAAATCCGATACAAAAGAATTTCACGCACACTCCAACATTTTGAGAGCTAGATCTCCTTACTTTAAAAAGGCTTTTTCGCAGAATAGAGGAGTTACAAAGAAAAATGATATTTTTAATATCATTAAACCAAACATTTCTCCTATTGTGTTTGAGATGATTATTAGGTGATATTATATGTATATTTTTTTTTTACGTTATTAAAGTTAAATTATGATTAATAGTTTTATTTTATTTAGATATATGTATGTTGGTATTCTTGATTTGAGAGAGAAAACTAACACAGATATTCTTAATCTTCTTATTGCATCTGATGAATTACTTATGCAAGAATTGATTACTTGTGTACAGAAGTACTTGGTTGAAAATGAAGCTAAATGGTTACAAGATAATTTCGCCAAAATTCTTCACACAGTATTTCAATTTGAAAGTTGTAAACAACTTCAAGATTATTGTTTAGAATCTATTTGTGAAGATTCAGAACCTTTCCTTAATTCATCAAAATTTCCAACTTTAGAAAAAAATATTTTACTTGGATTGCTTAAGCGAGACGACTTAACAATGGATGAAATTGAGTTGTGGGATAATCTCATTAGATGGGGAATCGCTCAAAATTCTGAATTGAATGGGAAGAATATAACTAACTTAAATCGTTGGAATAAAAAAGATTTCTTGATTTTGAAAAATACTTTAGACCCATTTATTTCACATATCAGATATTTTAATATTTCATCAGAAGATTTTCATAGTAAGATTTGGCCTTTTAAAAGAGTGCTACCCGAAGCCCTTTTTGAAAATATTATATCATTTTATTTTGCTGATGTTCAACCGGAAAACAAATTACCCCCTCGTTATGGAAAACTTCCTGTCGATTCAATAATCATTAAACCAAAACATGCCGCTATTCTTGCTAATTGGACTCAAAGAAAAGACACTAATGCAAAAATTCTAGAGAATAGATATACTTTTAACCTTGTTTATCGTGGAAGTAGAGATGGATTTGATATTGAAACTATGCGTAATAATTGTAATGATCAAGGAGCGACTATTTTAGTTATTAAAGTTGAAGAAAATGGATTTATAATCGGTGGTTATAATCCTCTTGGTTGGAACTATGGTAATTACTATGGAGAAGGTTGGAAGTATGCTACGGAGAGTTTTATTTTTTCTTTGGGTGATGGGAAAGATTCGAAGAAATTTAAGATCAGTCGAGTTACCGATGAAAATTATGCGTTATATGAAACTAACTATTCTTTAGATTTTGGTAATAGTGATTTGATTATTAATGGAACAAACGGCACATGCTATCAATGTTATTATGAAAGTAATATTTTAGATACAAATAATTTCTCAATTGAAGAAATGGAAATTTTTAGTTTTTATTAAAGCTGAATTTATAAATTATAATTTATTCAAAGCTCATAAAGAAATTTTGTACTTTATAGTGTTTTTTTTTTTTAAATAAAATCTGAAAAAATGAATTAAAGCAATTTTATTAATATTGATTAGCAAAAAATTTTGTCAGAATGTATTAATTGCTTAGTTATTTTCTAACAATAACTAACATTTATCTTTCTTATTTACTTACTTAATCCAAAAAATATGGGAAATATGATAAGTTGTTAACTGTTTTCTCCTATATAATGAATTGCTTTTCAAATTCTTTCAAATACTATTCGCAAGCTATTGTCATAAACTTTAAAATTTTGTACCCGGAGTATGATTGGAATTTTGACCTTTTAAAATCCACTAAATTCTTATTCATAGTTATATTTATTATATATCATAAACATTTCATATTGTATTTTGAATATAATAAAATAATAAGAACCATATAAAAAGAAATGTCTAGAAAACTTAAATAAATTATATAGGTTTATAGAATGCTATAAAATATGAATATGCAAAATTTTTTTCACGTTTCTATACAGTGAGCCTTTCTCTTTTGCAGGATTAGGTTATAAACAAAAATAATATGATTAATTTTACTAAGCCAAATATTTCTCCAATCAATTGTATTTGAGATGATTATTAGATAATTATTTCTTGTAATTTTTTCCTCGTACTTAATTAAATTATAATTTTTTTTTTATATATATGTATAGTTGTATACTGGTAAACTTAATTTGAAAGAACAAGTCGGCTTAGATATTCTACATCTTCTTGTAGAATCCGATGAATTACTTATTGAAGAATTAGTACAAAAAGTACTTAATTGAAAATCAAACTGAATGATTGAAAGAGAACCTCATCAAGGTCCTTCACACTGTATATCAATTGGAAGGTTGTAAAAGTCTTCAGGATTATTGTTTAGAATCTATTTGTGAAGATCTAGAACCCTTTTTCAATTTATCAGTATTTCCAACATTAGAAAAAGTTTATTAATTGATGAAATTGAATTGTGAGATAATCTTATTAAATGGGGAATCCCTCAAACTTCTGAATTCAATTCAGAAGTTTCTGCAGTTTAAAATCTACAGAGAATTCTACGTGGAAGCAATATTTTCGAACACCCTGTGATGAAACATGTGGAGTGGATTAAGGTCATCACACGTGAATTGATATCGGGTGATTTATAAAAACAATTTTTTTTAATAATTACTTAGATTATATCTTTTATTTATTCTTGAGTCGCAAAAAAAATTTTATTATATAATAAAAGGGCAACAAATATACGTTCTATATTCTCTATATTTAATTTATATTAGTATCTTTTTTAACTAGTACTGTTATACTGTGCTATTAGTAATTTCTTGAACTCCGCGGATGAATCCCACGTATGCCGCTAAAGAATTCTAAGGATCTCCAATGAAATTTAATGACATATTTATATTATGAAATGTGTGGTTTTGTGCGGGTACTTGTTAAGAGGAAAGAATGACTAATTTGAATCATTGGAATAAAAAAGATTTTTCGGCCTTTAGGAATACCTTGTACCCATTTATCTTACAAATCAGATTTTTGAAATTACTTCGAGATTTTTACTATAAAGTTTTGCCCTTTAAAACAGTGTTGATATTATATCGAATGTATCGTTCTACATCAGGAAATCTTTAATTGGATTGATCCACCAAAAATCACGTAGGTTAGTTCAGAAATCACGTGGAATTCTACACATCAAATTGTATGGATAAGTATCCGCACATTTCATAATAGAAATATGTGGATTTCTGAGATTTTTGTGCATTGCAAAATTTCATTGGAAATCTGTAGAATTCTTTAGCGGAATACGTCTGTGGAGTTCAAGAAATCATCAGGAATTTTTTTCCGCTTAAAATCCACATGGAAATCCACATCAAATACTGTGGAAATATGTGGAAATCTAAATAGTTCCAGTATTTTCCGAATACCCTGTGACGAAACACGTGGTATTTTCGGCATAAGCCCACGAAATTCGGTGTGGATCCATGTAGGATATTGGGAATGTGTGGAATTCCACGTATTTCTGAGCAAACCCATGTGGAATTACATGGACTGACCCACCTAAAAACTTCCTGATGATTATTAATAGCACTGTATAACAGTGCTAGTTAAAAAAACATACTAATAAATTAAAGTGAATATAGGACGAATATTTGTTGCCTTTTTATTATATAACAAATCTTTTTTTTTGCGGGTCAAGAATAAATATAAGATATAATCTAAGTAATTATTAAAAAAAAATTCAAATAGTACAGTTGTTAGATCGTAAGATACGACATATTTAATAGTATAAGTTCAAGGTATTTGGTTCAGTTCCTAAGGTGAGTAAAATAAATACAATTAATATACGGCTCTATAGGACCATCATGTACACGTTGTACCAATATTCTGCACGTCATGCTTAATATAGCGATTATAACGTGCTCAATATTATTAAATGCAAATTTATATAATTATGAAGTTTATAAAATACAGTATATGATTATAGATATTATTAAAAATGCATAAAATAAAAAAGATAATGTTTTAATATTAGCATAACAATCAAATATTCATAAAAATATATTACTCTTTCTTTTGACATTATTTATGTACTAAAAGATTCAATAAAGGTGATTTAGAAAGAGAAGAAGAAATAAACTAATAAAGTATAAAAAAAGTTTAATGATGGTCATTCTGATCCGTATATTAATATTGTTATTGTACGAGCGTCATGCTTAATAATGATCTGATGTGGCACTCCGTGCCACATCATACCATTATCAAGCACGCCCGTACAATAACATACAATTAAATTAATATAATTAATTAAAATATTTTTACAAATCACCCAATATCAATCGATATCAAATCCACGTGTTACGACCTTGAACTCTGTGAATCTCACTCCACATGTTTGTATATCGGAAATTATTGGTTCACTTGGAATTTCCATGATGGCACATAGAATTCTCTGCAGATTTTAAACGACAAAAATTCCTGATGTACTTAGCCGAGGCTCAACCTAAAAATAATAAATTATCTCCTCGTTATGGAAAGATTCCTATAGAGTCAGTTATCATTAAACCAAAACATGCCACCATACTTGCTAACTGGGCTCAAAGGAAAGATACTAATGCAATAATTCCAAAGGATAAATATTTCAACCTTATATATATATCGTGGAAGTAGAGATGGTTTCGATCTTAATACTATGAGAAGAAATTGCAATGGACAAGGAGCAACTATTTTAGTCAGTAAATTGAACTATAATTGGTGACTATAACTATCGTGGTTGGATACTATATCTTGGACTTCTCCCAGGACTGGAAGAGGTAAAATTATAACGATAATAATTATTATTGGAATAATAACTACAAACAGTATTATTTTTTCATTGGCTGGCAAAGATTTAAAGAAAGTTAAGATTAGCCAAGTTACTAATGGAAATTATACGAATGTAACTATACAAATATTACTTTAAACTTTGGTAATAGTGATTTAGTTATTAACGGAATGTAATCGAAGCTATTATGAAAGCGACATTTTAGATATAAATAACTTAGAAATGAAAATCTTTAGGTTATATTAATTTCGATAGTTTAATTTGAACCTAGCTCTTTTAGTACTTCGTATCTTGTTACCTTATTTTAAACATAAATTCATATAATTTATGATTTACTAAACTTGAGATCATTTAAATATTTTAAATTATTCCTTATATTTTTTTTTATTACCTAATGATGTATGTATATAATTTATTATGGATGGTTTTTTACATGGATTTTTTGAACTTAGGCTAAAAAAATATAATAAAATTACAATCATAACTCTATAATTTTTTTTTTACGATGTGTCAATTTTTTTTTTTTTAATAGTAAAATGGCGTGCACATGTATATTACCGCTAAACCCAAAATGTAATAATCTGCGTTTGATTTTATGCATCGTGACCAAAATAAAGTTACATGATCGACCACAAAAATTTAAGTTTCTTTTTTTTCTCTTTTTTTCCTTTAAAAGTAAGCTCCTCTCATACAAGCTAGAATTCACCCTTGCGCTTAGTATGGTTTCTGAATTTTTCCCTGGATTATCGCAAGATTTTTCTCAATTGCTTGTTGACGATATCGATGATTATAATGTTGTTATTAAAGTTGGAGAAAATACAAATACAAAAGAATTTCACGCACACTCCAACATTTTGAGAGCTAGATCTCCTTACTTCAAAAAAGCCTTTTTGCAGAATAGAAGAGTTACAAAGGAAAATAATATTTTTAATTTCATAAAACCAAATATTTCTCCTATTGTGTTTGAGATGGTTATTAGGTAATATTTTCTTATACATATATTTTTGTTTTACGTTAATAAAATAAAATAATGATTAATATCATTCTTTTTTTTATTCAGATATATGTACTCTGGTATTCTTGATTTGAGAGAAAAAGCTGTCACAGATATTCTTTATCTTCTTGTTGCATCTGATGAATTACTTATGCAAGGATTGATTACTTTTGTGCAGAAGTACTTGATTGAAAATCAAGCTGAATGGTTACAAGACAATCTCTTCAATGTTCTTCACACATTATTTCAATTTGAGAGTTGTAAACAACTTCAAGATTATTGTTTAGAATCTATTTGTGAAGATCCAGAACCTTTCTTTAACTCACCAAAATTTCTAACTTTAGAAAAAAATATTTTACTTGGATTACTTGATCGAGATGATATGACGATGGATGAAATTGAGTTGTGGAATAATCTCATTAAATGGGGAATTGCTCAAAATTCTGAATTGAATGGAAAGAATGTAACTAACTTAAATAGTTGGAATAAAGAGGATTTCTTGACTTTGAAAAGTACTTTAGACCCATTTATCTCACATATCAGATATTTTGATATTTCATCAAAAGATTTCTATAATAAGGTTTGGCCTTTTAAAACATTGCTACCTGAAGAACTTTTTGAAAATATTGTATCATTTCATTTTGCTGATACTCAACCGGAAAACAAATTACCACCTCGTAGTGGAAAACTTCCTGTCGATTCAATAATCATTAAACCAAAATATGCAACTATTCTTGCTAATTGGACCCAAAGAAAGGACGCTAATGTAAGAATTTTAAAGAATGAATATACTTTCAACTTAATCTATCGTGGAAGTAGAGATGGATTTGATACTGACACTATGCGCAGTAAGTGTAATGGACAAGGTGCAACTATTCTAGTTATTAAAATCAAAGAAAATGGATTTATAATTGGTGGTTATAATCCTTTTAATTGGAATTACTATAATGGCGATTATTATAATTACTATCGAGAATATTGGAATAATACCACGGAGAGTTTTATCTTTTTTTTGGGTGATGGGAAAGATTCTAAGAAAGTTAAGATTAGCCGAGTTGTCAATCAGAATTGTGCAATATACGAATCTAAACACGCGAATATTGCTTTAAACTTTGGTAATAGTGATTTAGTTATTAACGGAACAAATGGTACATGTAATCGAAGCTATTATGAAAGCGATATTTTGGATATAAATAACTTTTCAATTGAAGAAATGGAAATCTTTAGGTTTTATCAAAGTTGAGTTTGTAGGTTTTTGTTGAAATTATTATTTATTCTAAGTTTGTAAAAAATAACGTTTTGTATTTGTATTTTGTATTTTTTTCCTATAAAATAAAATGGAAAAAACCGATTTCACACTACTGTACTATAATTAAACAGTAACTCAAACTAAAAAAATTACAACACTACTAAAACATTAAAGCCCATACTTACGCAATTTACATGCATAAGTAGCGATTCCTGACTTTAAGCATATTTTATATGATCAAAGCAACTGTTAATAAAGCTATTACAGCTAACTTTCTATATAATGCTTTATAACGAATTTCCCAACACGTAATATTTAACCAATCAAATAAATTAAATACGCCAAATATCCTTCGCTATAATCATATGAAATTTGGGGTGAACCCGGAGAGTTTGTTGTATCGAGGGCTAACCGTAAATATAATTCATACTTTTAATAATGAATAATTGTTAATAATTTAAATTTAATAAAAATTTATCAACATGACATGACATTAACAATAATAACAATAAATAATACATTTATATTTCTTAAACGATTGTTTATTCAACATCGCTTCAATGACCTACTACTTTTATTTTACAATTCGTTTAATAGCAAAGCGTCGCGCTTTATTAAAACCGATAGAAATTTTTCCTATTCCTGAATATAATTTATTGAATTTCTTACTAAATACAATTTTTGCACGCAAAAGTAAGTTTGTAAAGTTCTATTTTTGTTGAAACATTAATAAGTTAATAGCCCAAATTCAAAATTCAAATCATATTTTTATTTTAAAAAATATTTATTCACATATACTTTATCCAGCATCACGTGATTTTTTGTAATTAAAAATGGTTAATAGATCGTATATCTAAAATTATCACAACCGATTCAAGAAACAGAATAACTAAGCTAAAAAAAAATTATATGTTAATATTGTTAAAAAAGAGTTTATATTGTACGATCATCAAATTTCATGAGAATAATATTTTATAAACAAGTTATTCAATTGAAAGAAATAAAATCTATAGTATATAAAAGTTCTTATGATCCTATTATGCATTAGCAGCTTTTGCTAATTCAATATGGTCACATGTACTTGAATTTCCTTTTTAATAATAAAATTAATAATACATTTATAGAAAATATTACAATCTTAAATTGTAATATCTGTGGTTAATAGCACAAAATCAACCTTTTTAATTAACGATTAAATCATTTGGCAAATATGTTCGTTTACCCAAAGCCATGTTTTCAAGCGAGTGTGCGTCGAAAGTTCGCGATCGTATTAGCTTTTTGATTCTGTAAAGGTGATTCTTGATTTCTCAGATTGTGATCATAGATTCATCAGTGAAGCCATAATAAGCATAGTAAATGTAATAATATATTTTATATGAAAGCAAATGATAGTAAAATTACAATAACTCATATTTTAAACTTCGTCAGTAATACCGGGTATCCGTCTAATAAATAATTGTTTATTTAACGTCACTTGACTTTTATTTTACACTTTAAGTTTTGCGATACGTTGTTAATTGAAACATTAAATCAGGTAAACATCAGGTAATAATAGCCTCAGCGCTATAAAATTCTTGTCCAAATCATATGAAATCATATGAAAGTATACATCATCATTATGATTATCGTAAATAATGACAAATCATAAACTTGTATTCTTTTAGTTAGATCTTAATTATGATATAAAAAATCTATCATTTGACGAAATATTTAAAATTTTTCTTAAAAATTCTTTTTTTTTTTTTAAAAAAAAAAAAAATTAGTGAAAATGGCTTCCGAATTTTTCTCTAGATTATCACAAGACCTTTCTCAATTGCTTGATGATTCAGACGATTATGACGTCATAGTTAAAGTTGGAGAAAATTCAAATACGAAAGAATTTCACGCTCGATCTAATATTTTGAGAGCTCGATCTCCTTATTTTAAAAGGGCTTTTTTGCAGAATAGGGTTACAAAGAAAGATGGCGTTTATAACTTTATTAAACCAAATATTTCCCCTATCGTATTTGAGATGATTATTAGGTAATTATATATATTTCTTGTATTTACCTCATACGTTAATAAACCTAAAATGATCATTTATTTAGATATATGTATACTGGTATTCTTGATTTGAGAGAGAAAGCTAGCGCAGATATTCTTGAACTTCTTGTAGCATCTGACGAATTACTCATGGAAGAATTAATTACTTTTGTGCAAAAATATCTCATTGAAAATCAATCCGATTGGTTACAAAATAATTTCGTCAAAGTTCTTCACACTGTATTTCAATTTGAAAGTTGTAAAGAACTTCAAGATTATTGTTTAGAATCTATTTGTGAAGATCCAGAACCTTTCTTTAATTCACCAAAATTTCCAACTTTAGAAAAAAATATTTTACTTGGATTACTTAAACGAGATGACTTAACAATGGATGAAATTGAGTTGTGGAATAATCTCATTAAATGGGGAATTGCTCAAAATTCTGAATTGAATGGAAAGAATCCAACTAACTTAAATCGTTGGAATAATAAGGATTTCTTAACTTTGAAAAATACTTTAGACCCATTTATTTCTCATATCAGATATTTTAATATTTCATCAAAAGATTTTCATAGTAAGGTTTGGCCTTTTAAAACAGTGCTACCTGAAGCACTTTTTGAAGATATTGTATCATTCTATTTTGCTGATATTCAACCAAAAAACAAATTACCTCCTCGTAATGGAAAACTTCCCGTCGATTCAATAATCATTAAACCAAAACATGCAGCTATTCTTGCTAATTGGACTCAAAGAAGCGACGCTAATGCAAGAATTCCAAAGAATAAATATAATTTCAACCTTATATATCGTGGAAATAGAGATGGTTTAAATATTAACACCATGCGTAATAAATGTAATGGACAAGGGGCAACTATTATAGTTATTAAAGTCAAAGAAAATGGAACTATAATTGGTGGCTATAACCCTAATGGTTGGCCCTACCGTAACAATGGCTATTATAATTCTTATTATTGGATTAATACTATGGAGAGTTTTATTTTTTCTTTGGGTGATGGTAAAGATTCAAAGAAAGTTAAAATTAGCCGAGTTACCAATGGAAATGCAATATACGAACATTACAATGCAAATACTGCTTTAAATTTTGGTAATAGTGATTTGATTATTAACGGAGCAAATGGTACTTGCAATAAAGGCAATTATGAAAGTAATATTATGGATATAAATAATTTTTCAATTGAAGAAATGGAAATCTTTAGATTTTACAATAATTAAAGTTGTCGGATTTGACCATTGTCCTAATAATTTACTGAGAAATAACCTTTTTGTACTTATAATTTTATAATTTCCATTCAAGGATTTATGGAATATTCACAAGAACAATTTCATGAAATTATCGACAAAAAATGAAATCAATAAACCTTTTATAAAATTTTCTATTAAAATGGAAAATTTTGTTTTTGGAGTACCATTTACTTAAAATAACGCGTTAAGTAGCGAATTTAAGTACTACTTCAGTAATTTTATACAGTTTCTAAGTACCGGAATAATCAGGAATTTATTATATTGAATATTATTTTTTTTTTTATCATAATACTTTAAATAAATAAATAAGATATTTTTATTAATTATAATCGAATATTTCCATTCAAATAAGTAAGTAAATAAATAAAATAAAGGAATGACAAAAATATAAATATTTATCCGATATTTTTCAAGTCGTAAAGTACGTAGAAGAAAGTAGCATTTCGGCAAAATGGATTGTCATCGAAATGACAATTTGAGTAATTCTTTTGTGAAGTGGATGATTGTCTCCGTTTCTAATAAAAAATTAAACATATAGCTACTTTTATAATAATGAATCGCAATTCGCAGAATTTATGATCACGTGATTTACAGTAACAAGCGTAACAAACGTGGACGAATTCTAAATATATATATATATGCGCGCGTTTATGGCGCGCGCTTCTGTTTCTTTCTTTCTTTCTTTCTCTTATTTTTCGCATCGTTTTTTAACAAGTAAATTAATAAAAAAAAAACGGTTTGCAACATTTTTTATTGAAGTAATTAATTAAAAAGTTTTTTTATTGAAAAAATTGTTATCCAATGAAAAATAAAATGACTTCTGAATTTTTTCCCGAATTATTACGAAATTTTTCTCAATTACTTGATGATGCAGATGATTATAACGTCACCATCAGCGTTGGAGAAAATTCAAATACCAAAGAATTTCATGCTCACTCTAATATCTTGAGAGCTCGATCTCCTTATTTTAAAAGAGCTCTTTCTCAAAATTGGATTACGAAAAAAAATAATATGATCACATTTACTAAACCAAATATTTCTCCTATTGTATTTGAGATGATTATTAGGTAATTATTTATTATATTCTTCTTGTACGTTAATAATATCTAAATTATAATTTTATTTCGCTTAGATATATGTATACTGGTATTCTTGATTTGAAAAAGAAAGCCGGCTCGGATATTCTGGATCTTCTTGTGGCATCTGATGAATTACTTATTGAAGAATTAGTTACTTTTGTACAAAAGTATTTGATTGAAAATCAACCCGATTGGTTACAAGAAAATTTCGTCAAAGTTCTTAATACTGTATTTCGATTTGGAAATTATAAACAGCTTCAAGTTTATTGTTTAGAATCTATTTGTGAAGATTCAGAACCTTTCTTCAATTCTCCAGAATTCCCAACATTAGAAAGTAGTATTTTGCTTGGATTACTTAAGCGAGATGACTTATTAATTGATGAAATAGAATTGTGGAATTATCTTATTAAATGGGGAATAGCTCAGGCTTCAGAATTGGAAGGAAAGAATACGACCAATTTAAATCGATGGAATAAAAAAGATTTCTCGATTTTGAGTAATATTTTGAATCCATATATCCGGCATATTAGGTTTTTTAATATTTCTTCAAAAGACTTTCATAATAGTATTTGGCCTTTTAAATCAATATTATCTAAAACGCTTTTTGAAGATATCATATCATTTCATTTGACTAATACTCAGCCTAAAGAAAATATTTTACCTCCTCGTTGTGGAAAAATTATTGATTCAACCATCATCAAATTGAAACATGCCGTCGTTCTTGCTAAATGGATTCGAAGAAAAGATGCTAACGAGAGAATTTCAAAGAATAAATGTAATTTCAACCTTATATATCGTGGAAGTAGAGATGGTTTCGATCTTAATACGATAAGAAGTAAATGCAACGGACAAGGAGCATGTATTTTAGTTATTAAAATCAGAGAAAACGGAGCTATAATTGGTGGCTATAATCCTCTTGGTTGGATACACTATAATAATGACGTTAATAACGGATTGAATAATAATGTTAATAACAATTATAATTATAACGCTAATACCACTAGTTTTAACAGGAACTATAATTATAACGCTAATATCGCGAGTTTTTTCGTTATCCCGAGTAATCGGAGTAATACTACAGAGAGTTTTATTTTTTCTTTGGGTGACGAGAAAGACGAAAAAAAATTTAAGATCAGTCGAGTTACCGATAGAAGATATGCAATATATGAATCTAACTGTTGTACGAATATAGCTTTAAATTTTGGCAATGGCGATTTGGTTATCAATGGAACAAATGGCTCTTGCAACCAAAACTATTATGAAAGTAATATTTTAGATACAAATTACTTCTCAATTGAAGAAATGGAAATCTTTAGTTTTTATTAAAGATAAGTGGTTATGATATGCAGAATAAATAGTTTATCGTTTATTTTCCTTTCATGTTTTTACGAATTTCGATGATTCTTTTTTTCCTAATAAATGTCATCTTAAAAATAATTTTTTTAAAAAAACAAAATAAAAGTCGTTTATTATGTTTTAAACAATGTGTACTGTGTAATTACACAAAAGATCAGTTGAATTAGTCAAAACAAACCGGAAAATTCATTTTTCTAATTTTTTCAACTTTAACGTACGAATTTATCAATAAACCGACCACTTACCATATTTAATCTTGAATCTGAAAAAAAAAAAAAATGATAAAGTTCACGAACTTATATTCACGCAAATTTATATAATATTTTGTTAAAATCAAATTAAACTTCTCACTTGTTTATTATGTCATAAAGAAATAATTATGACGATTTGATTTGGTAAATTCATACAATCATAATTACTTGATCTAAGCCTTTTTTAGTTGAATTCCATGATTTATATAAATAATCCATTATTCTGACGAAATAATTTGCATTAAATAAAATGACTTTTGAATTTTTTCCTGAATTATCACAAAATCTTTCTCAGCTAATTGATGATGCATACGATCATGATATTATCATCAACGTTGGAGAAAATTCAAATACAAAAGAATTTCATGCTCACTCTAATGTCTTGAAAGCTCGTTCTACATATTTCAAAACAGCTCTTTCACAGAATTGGGCTATAAAGGAAAATGATACTTATAGATTTACTAAATCGAATATTTCTCCCATCGTATTTGAAATTATTATTAGGTAATTATTCCCTTTCTTTTTTTCATAAAATAATAATTCATGCTAGATTTCAAATATCGCAATCATTTTTTATTAGATATATGTATACCGGTATTCTTGATTTAAGAAAACATGTCGGTTCAAATATTCTTGAACTTCTTGTAGCATCTAATGAATTACTTATTGAAGAATTAACTGCTTTTATACAAAATTACTTGATTGAAAATCAATCTGAATGGTTACGTAATAATTTCGTCAAAGTTCTTAACATTGTATATATATTTGAAAATTGTAAGCAACTTCAAAATTATTGTTTAGAATTTATTTGTGAAGATCCAGAACCTTTCTTTGATTCTCCAGAATTTCCATCATTGGAAAAGAATATTTTACTTGAATTACTTAAACGAGATGATTTATTAATTGATGAAATTGAATTGTGGAATTATCTTATTAAATGGGGAATTGTTCAAACTTCTGAATTGAGAGAAAAGAATATAACTGATTTAAATAAATGGAATGAAGGGGATTTTTTAAATTTGAAAAATACTTTGAATCCATTAATCTTACATATCAGGTTTTTCGATATTTTTTCAGAAGATTTTTATAGTAAAATTTGGCCTTTTAAAAAGGTATTGCCTGAAATGCTCTTTGAAGAGGTTGTATCATTCCACTTAGCCGATATTAAACCCGAAAAAAATATGGTACCCCCTCGTCATAAAAAAATCTATATTGATTCAATGGTCATTAAACCAAAACATGCTACCATCTTTATTAACTGGATCCAAAGAAAAGATGCTAATGCAAGAATTTCAAAGGATAAATATAATTTCAACCTTATTTATCGTGGAAGTAGAGATGGTTTTGATGTTAATACTATGATTAATAAATGCAATGGACAAGGAGCGTGTATTTTAGTCATTAAAATTAAAGAAAATGGAACTTTAATTGGTGGTTATAACCCTCTTGGTTGGAATTATCGTTCCTATCACGTTGGCGGAATTTATAATAGCTATGACATGTATGGCGGACTTTATGGATATGGAGGAATTTATGGTTCTGGAGGACTTTATGGCGGTTATTATGGCGGTTATAGCGGACTCTATGGAAATAGTTTAAATCGTTGGGCCAATACTACGGAGAGTTTTATTTTTTCTTTGGATGATGGTAAAGATTTGAAAAAGTTCAAGATTAGTCGGGTTATTAATAACAATTGTGCAATATATGAATCTAATAATACTTTAAATTTTGGGAACAGCGATTTGATTATTAATGGAAATAGTGGCACATGCAATCGATGTCATTATGAAAGTAGTATTTTAGATACAAATAATTTCTCAATTGAAGATATGGAAATTTTCAAATATAATAAATCGTGAAGGATAAGATTATAGAAGTACAGTTACTTAATAACCTTTTATTTTTAGGTAATCCATGTTATATCTTTTCAACATTTTTATTTACTGTAGGTGTCATTGAATAAATCATGAAAAAATTTTTTTATTAATATAAAATCAATATATTGAGATAATTGATGATGCATAATTCGATATGGAAAGTTACTCTTACGAAAGAAAATAAAATTTTTGTTCTTCGTTTCGTACTATCATTGACAAATTTGTGTTAAATCCATGCATTTCCTTTCATACACCTATTTCATCTTAATTTTTTTTAGGATGATTCCTACCCTCGCTACTTTCTTTTTTGATTATGTAACACTTTTTGATCTTTTTTATTGTAACACTAATAAATACTCGTACTTTAATAGTTCCCGTCTTCTAGTAATACACATAATAAAATAGCAAAACTAATTTTATACAAAAGATTCATAGAAAATGTGGTTAGCCGGGCAGTATAAAAGTCGTTTCACGGGATGATTCATTGACATCACGAGGTTGGTCTTACGACTCTTAAGTCTACGTACGTATAATTTTGCTATTGATATAATTAAACACCATCTGTGAAAAACATCAACAAAATCACAGACGATTGATTAGAATAAATATTGTATCCAAGTACAAAAGGCCATTTTGTGATCATCTGGTGCAACAATATCCAGTTGAACACACGTCTCGGCGTCTCGCTTACACCAGCGGGTTTCTGAGTTCTGACATAGAACATTCAATACGAAAATTTTTTTTACATAAGAATCTATCCAAACAACTATTAAATAAATAAAAATAATTTGAAGTACTATGGTAAATTCTTGAAAAAACAATATAGAATACATTACGTACCACAAACAGGAATTAAACATTAATATAATAATGGGTATATTATAATATATATTCCCCTTCTTTTTTTGATAACATTTATAGCATTCTTCATGTTTTCTGATGACAATGGATGCATTTTCATAATGGTGTAGTTAGCCGAAAAACGGAGCCGAATTCCTGATTGCCGATCATCCGGACCCGGTTTAATCGCTGGAATTCCACGACGATCTACGCCTGAGCCGGGGACGGATCACGTTGCGGCTAATTGTTACACCATTATTGCAGGTCTTTTATTCTTAATTTATCTAGATAGAAGTGAACAGTTCACTTCCATCTAACCTCATTTGGTAATAATTTCCAAGCATCAACTTGTAAAGTATTTTTTTGCATAGTAGTATCATCATAAAAGATGGAACTTGTAATATACGTGATGAAAATTCTTTTATTCCAGTGCAAAACTGCAATCTAGTTCCAAACAAATTGAATTTGTTTCTTTAACGAGAATGATAATCATTTGTGGAGAAAAATATGTTGAAATGTTTCTTTGTAAACAGCAAAAATACTGCGAAAAATATTTATTGCGTTTATATCAATGACATAATTATTTGGACGTGTATATTATTTATAGCATGAAATAAATAGAGCAAAAGTACGACAAAATATTCAAGAAAGCTTGAGAATCTTATGCTTCAAGCAAATAAATGAATGTTTTAGTAATAGTTACTTGATATCAACAATCTCAACATATCAGATATACACATTACACAGTCAGATGATTGAAAGTGAAAAATCATTAAACTTACACATATAGAGAACATGATAATTTAAATAATTTATTCTTGTTGGATAGAAGGCGTTCATGCTAATGTAAAATTTCAAAATATTATTAAATATAATTTTGGGCTTATTTACAGTACTGTACAATTAACGATGGTTATGAAAAATACATCGCAATAAAATAAATATAATGAATATGGATCTTGCATTCTAGTTATTTTAAGGATTAATCGAGTTGTTAATGGCGAGTTTACGATATATGATTTAAGTTACCAAAATGAAAGTATTATTCCTCAATTGAATAAATAGAAAATTCTAGAGTTAAACTATTATAGATAGATGTAAAGGTTATTTTTACTTAATATCGAATTATTTCGTCGAAAAATCACCGAAACAGTAGTAATTAAAATTTTTGTATAATTCATGATGTTAAAATATTTTAATAAACAAACGCTTCGTCGGTTCAAAAGAATCTGAATCTGTTAAAAGCTTGACCATAACATTCTTTTTCAAGTGGTTTGTCGATCACCTATAATTTTAGTGGTATACGATTTTGAGAATTAATGAAACTTAATAATGAAAGATAAATATTCTAAATAACTCTCAATAATTCTGTCAAATGGCTTCGATTTTTTTTTATTTTTTTTGTGTCGGTATGCGTGATGAATATTTTGCAACGACTTCAAAACATCGAAAATTCGTTAACATCATTTCAATAAATTCCGTTCGTAATATGGACAGAATTTATTATCGCTAAATTTAATGAATTATCATAAGAACTTCTGATATGGAATTTTTTTATATATTTCCATAATTTTCTATAAAATTGGTCAATATTTTTGGTTCCGGCAATAGTGTTGAATTTTAAAATTTCTAATCACATGTACTGTACTGTAATATTTGGAATTCCAAAGCGGGTTCTTGTAAAATTTAAGAATGATAATAATAGAGGGGACAACTCATTAATTACGTGATATGAGTAACTATATTTAATTATCCACCTGAATTTTTAATGTATCGCCTATTTTTTTTATATCTACAGTATATAACTAAAGAAAATATCTTAAAATAAAATACTTTTTACCGTTATATTTAATTAATAAGTTTTAATTTTTATATTTTAACTATATTTGACCTAACAATACGCCAACAAACACGAAACTTTAGAAAAATATTGCTCTCACTTGTCTACTCTCAAACATCTGCTTTAAAAACTGTTGTGGGTCAAAAGTTTTAAGTTTGGGATTACGTTCTGCGCATATAAATTTTATGTAGGACAGTTTTATAAGTTATTGTGTAACCCTACAGTTATTTTAATTAATGTTTCGTTGATGAAGGTATCATCTCTATCTTGATTTATTTGGTAGACAGGCAAGAGATTAGGGTACTAAGAATTGTGAAGATACATCCGATTTATATGATGCATATTAAAACATCTCTCCGTAAAATTCTAACACCAAATACGATTAATCATAACAAACATAATTCTATTTTCAATTCGGGAATCTTGTAAAGACAATCAACAAGAATTCAATAATTTATTTCGTGTATGACCATATAAAAAAAAAGTTATTTTTTCTCTTTTTTTCTTTTAAGTAAATTATTAATTTAAAAATTTTATAGGTTATATCCTTTGCCGATCAAGCGAATGGATCATCTAAATTAAAGTCTATTGATGATGCAATACATCCTTTCTTACTTTGGATCTACCTTAAAATCTGATAAAATTACCATTTGCTTTGTTGATCCAAAAGTAAATGTCTGCAATCAGTTGGAAACTGTTTTTAAGATCCCAAATAATTACGTTCATTTTTTTACTTTAGAAATGGAAGAATTTACACTAATCACATTATCAAATATCTAAAATTTTATATGACAAATAGAAATATTTGAGCGTAACTTTGTTCTTAACGACTTGCTGTAAAACAATAATGCGGTGAAACATTTCAATTATTTTAATAGACAAAATTCCGAAGATCTTCAAAATAAAAAGCACAATCATGTAAAGTAAACGCTGCCAATTGGTCGTCAGGTCGTCATTAACTTGTTCTTTTACTGTTCAATTTTTTTGCGAGTTATTTTTTTTTGTGCTACTTTAATATATTTGGAAATAACCCTATTGGAAATAAGAGAAATGCAAAGTACTTTTTTAAGAAAATCTGATATATTAAATTTTTTAATTTCCCCTCTCTCCCTTCTAATATTAGAAATTAATTTTGTTAATCCATAATTACAGAATTAATAACGTGATCATAATAAAAATATAGATATTATTTCAATTATAAATATAGTTATAATAAAAGTATAAATGTTGTAAAATGTGTAACAATAAACCCGCAATTATTAGTATGTAACTTGTTAGTATGTAAAAAAAAAGACTATCATGACGGCAAAAACAAATAGATACAAAATGGCACTAGGAAATTTTAAAATTACCTCCTAAAAAAGCTAGTTGTATTACATTAATATCAAAAAAAATGATTGGTTCACTTTTTTTTTACTTGCATAATGTATCACCTCAGTTTCTAAATTAGGAAGAGTTTTAGTGCTATAATACAAAAAAAAAAAAAAAAAAANAAAAAAAAAAAAAAAAAAATAGGAAGGATAAATTAATATAAAAATAAATAGGATACGTTTTTCAATTCTATTTATTTTTTTCTTTTTTTTTTCGAAAAAAATAACAATCATTTTTATTTACTACCGATACATTATTGCGTAACAATTAGTTCTGAGAAATTTCAAATGGACGCAGATGTACAGGAAGATAATATTGACATAATAGTCCAAATAGATGATCCTCCATCGAAACACGTATCAGTCAGTTTAAATCCCGGAGAAAATTTATCAAAGATTCGTGAAAAACTTGAACAAAATAGTAAAATTAAAATGAATGATACATTATCATTTGCAAATAAAATCGTCCAAATCAATAATAAAAATAATAATGAAATTTATTTAGCTGAAGTAGCGAAAGAAGATGAAGAAAAGAAAACTTTAGAAAAAATTATAAATAAGAAAGACAAAATTTTATATTTAAAATCAGAACCTGATTGGAAATTTTTAAAAAATAAACTTGGATTAGAATATGGGTTCACTTCAATGTTAGAAAAGGCTAATAAGAAAGCATTTACAATAATGGAAGATTGTAAAATGACAGAAATTGTTGATGGATGTAAACATAATACAATTGAAATCGATTTAGAGAAAGATAAGATTATGAAAAATGATTTCCTTTTAGCTGCGGACACTAACGTATTAAAAACAACATTTGGAAATTCGAAAATTAAAGAATCCAATTGCGAAACTAATTTAACTTGTACGATAAGTGAATATAGTAAAGTATCTTTAAAATTCAGATTGCAACCAGACTCTGAATTTATTAAAGAAATTAAGGATGCAATAGAATCCAAAGACCATAGAAACTTTAAGAAAATCACTGAGGAATATGGTCAATTCATTCCAACGGAAATTATTTTGGGCGGAAGAGCTTATTTTAAGAGCTCAAATATCTCAAGGAATTGTTCTGAAGAAAATTCTAATAGATTTGATATAAATGCAGGCGGCCAGAATTCAAATATAGGAATAGAAAGTACTACAGAAAATTTAAGCAGAAATATTAATAACTCTAAATATGAATGTTTTAAATTAATTGGAGGACGACAACTTGGCATTAGTAACTTTGATGAAAAAGATTGGGCTGAATCTTTAAGGGATTTTAGAAATTGGAGTTGCATAAAATTTAAGGATTCCATCAGTATATTTCAACCCTTATCTGAAAATTTACGTAAGCAAATTTTATCAACAGTCGGAAAAAAGATACTTTATACAAATACTGAAGATTATACATATTATTTATTTGAATATGCAAAACCAAAAGTATTTATATTAAATATACCAGAAAATATTTTAAAGATTATTCAAAACAAAGATAGTGATTGTAGTATCTTTGCAACAGTTATGGACGAAAAAGAAAAAGATATTTTTAATTGTCAAGTCGTTTGGTCACAAAATGAAGACCCAAAACTTATAATTCATTGTATTCAAAAAAAATTTAAAAAACGTAAATGTAAATTGAGGATTAGTTGGATGATTATTGGTTATGATCTAAATTTTGATTTTAGCCATTCGGAAAATAATATACAATTTAAAGTTCAAAAATATCATTTTAACGCGTCAGCAGGCCATCAAACCACGATCAAATCATTAGATTTAGGATATAATTCATCAGTTCTTTGTTTTGGAATTCCTGTATTAAATAAGTTGAACTCTTCAAATAATTCTCTTGTCATTAATCATCATTTTTTCAATGATCAAAAAAGTGGAAAAATTGGATTATATGCGTTCTCTTATTGTTTAGAAAAAAATCATTATGTTGATTTACCTGATTTTACTTTTACTATACTTATTATTTCAACTTATCCTAATTCTGATGATTATGGAATATTACCTATTAAACATAATTATAAGATAAAAAATTTGTTTAATTTTATTAAATATAATCCTTTAAAACAAAAACCAAAATTTTTAAGTTTATATTCTATGGGAGAAAATTGTGGTCCGAACTTTCTAAAACAAAAAATTAATCAAATTAAAGTAAAATCTATTGATATTAAAAAATGTAATCAAGAAGATTGCATTTGTAAAAGTAAAAAATTAACGAAATCAGAAAATAATCTGAAATATGCATTCTTGGAATCATTTGAGGTATTTAGTAATTCTTTTTATTCAATTTATTTGTTCTTCAATTTGATAACCTAAAATTAAATAAACATCTTCTCTTTCCCTTTCGATTAGGTTACGAAAGAGAAATCACCTTGGTTACTGGAAAATTCAAAATTTTTTAGCGTATAAAAATTAAAAAAGCGAACCCTTCAATTAAATTAGAAATAACTTATTCAAATACAATCCATTACATTTTATATAAGGTCTTTTTATATGTTTTTATTTATGAAATTTTTATGAACAAATAATAATAATAAGTCTATAAGGTTATATTCAAAGTCAAGTATTTATTCAAAAATTCGATCGTACATTCGTACGCACGTAGATCTACAATCACGTGATCCTATATTAAGAAATTATGACGTAATGCTGAATTTGTGACTAATAATTCAACTTTAAGAGAAGTTAAATCTTTAGAATTTTATGATAAGAGCGTTTTATTTTGTTATTATTTATGTCAAATACATAAGAAAAATTTTAATAAATCACTTATTACAATTATTTATTTTAGCGTTCACGCAATTTGATAATAGGCGAAAAATCATGGATTAAATTATCGTTAATTTAGGCCAGAATTATAATTAATTCACAGTAATTGGCCTAAATTAAAGAAATATTTCTAATTCTGATATGGAGCCGGAATTAATCAATGCGGGCTGAATTGTATTTTGATCTTATATTCTGTAGTCGTTTTATTACATTTCACCATGAAATGTTTTAAATTGATATTTCTTTTTAAATTGTTAGATTAAAACCATTATTTCATACAATTTATTGATTTTTCTTTTTTTTTTTTGTACATATAAATATAAATTTTTATTCTTCCTCTAAATCTTCAATTTCAGAACTATAGAGGATCTCACTTCCAATATTACTTTTTTCATTCTGCAAATACGTCCATCCCAATATTATAGCATATACCACAAACATCAATGCAATAATTAACGTAAAAATTACTTCATGCCATTTATTAAATAATAATTGACTATAAATAAATATTGCATAAGTATTTGGTAAGTATAATCCAACCCAATTACTTGCTTCATTCAAAACCTCAGATCGTTGTGAGAAAGATAAATACCAAGTAGTAAAAATCAAAGCTATATAAGGATGTAATATGTATATACCAAACGCCAAAAGTTGCCAAGGTATTCTTGAAACGGAATGATTATTAAATGGAGGAATCGTTCCTGGTGGTAAAGGTTTTTTTGGATGATCTTTTTCTTTTTTTATAGCATAAAAATCAATAAATATGGTAATTATTGCTAATATAATAAAAATGATAATTCCAAATATCACAATTAAATTTTCAATCTTTTTACGAGAATCAAAATAATTTCTAGTATGTATTAACGTTGATTTATAATGATCTGTTAAAAGTTTATAATAAATGTAAAGGATAATTATGATTTGTGAGAAAGAAGAAATACCAAATGCAATTAATAATGATGAATTAAAATTTTTTCCAATTTGAAATGAAATTATTCCTTGTATCGCTGACCAAATTATTAAAATATTAATTGTGATAGATAATTTGAGAACATAATCTTTTAATGGTCTCATGGAATTTTGTGATGTTTGAGAAATTGGGTAATCATGTGATGGTAATTCTTCATATAACATTTTTTCTTTTTTTTTTGTATAACAAATAGATGAAAAAAAAAAATTGCTCGTTTTGAATGAAAAAAATTTAAGAAAGAAATGAATGGAAAAACGGAAACGGAAAGTGAAACATTTATTGCAATTAATAATGATATTTACTATGTCGTAATGATGATGTATATTTACGCTGTTATGATGTCAATCATTGATTTTTTTTTCAATTTTTGCAGGATTTGTAATGAAATTAATTACTAGAAAAACTTAGTTATTACTTTGGAATGGTCATGAAAAAATTAATAAGTTTATGTTAAGAGAAATTCGAAATATATAGAAAGTTTCGGTATACATTTAATCACGTGCACAAATTTTGACAAATTTTACCACATTTAAGTAATTTAACCAATAAAATTCCCGAATCTTCAAATTCGCCGCAGGAATTGGAATTTTTTTTATCAGTTATCAGCTGATGATAAAGTTATTATGTAAAAATATAATTTTGGATTAGCCACAAATAGAAAATATAATCATTATAATGTATAAAAATAAAAATTTCAAATCATGTGCGCATGAAATTTTGAGTCGCTCTTAAAATGGTAAATCAATTCGTAAAAATGCATGTGCTACACGGTTATTTATTGAGAATCAAATACATATTTTATAATAAACAAGCATAAGTGGCAACAGCAAATAAAACGTTTGGGTGTTCGACACGATTTTGTAGAACTTACAGTCAGAACTCGATATAATGACTATGAAATATAACAACTTTCACGATAAAGCGATTTTTTAAGATTTTATCTTTATATATCTGATATAAACAAATAAAAATCGTTAAAATCGAACTAATTTTGATATACAGTGGCGATTTTTTTTTTCAGTGAACCGGAGGGTTCGTTATATCGAGTTCTGATTGTAGTCTACTTTCTAAAAAGCCATCTCAATTCTTATTGGCCACGGACTTTTTTTTTCTGATTTAAAATTCGACAATTTTATTTATTTTATTTTATTTTATTACTAGAAGAGTAGTACTCCAAAACTATTACAAATAAAAGAAAGACAACATTTACATGTTCTACAACTAATATACGTGTATAGAATTTTGGACGTTAATCCCCTACGGGACCTCACCCTTCGGACTATCTATTCAAAAAGCTAGGACTACGCTAACCTTTCAAATGGACAATGAAACTAAAGACGAACAAAAAGAAACCTAAAAAAAAAGAATTCAAGTCAAGTCATCCGTATTTTTCTTTTAACTAGAAACTAGTTATTGTATGTAAATACTGTCATATACAAAATGGTGTATCCTTATAGGTCCGTAATTGTTTTTTAAGGGTAAAACTATATATTAGAGTAATCAAAGATCCTGCCCAGGTGAGGGTGGGATTTCAACTTTTTTTCTTTTGTTCCTCATTAGAGGTCGTTGGAGTCTTCCTTTATCATCATCAATCTCGTCAGGAGGGGGTGTACGGCGATGAAAGAAAATATCATTATCATTAATAATTTCCAGGTGAGCATCTGATATAAAAAAAATATTTTTGTCTTTGTCGATCGGTGGTAAATATTCGGTGATTAGAGGACATGAACGTCTCAGTATATAATCATCATAAAGTTGTTTAGCTTTGGTATATCCATAGTTGTATTGAGGGATGGTTGACACGTTAAAACGTCATCGAACTTTATAATCAAAAAGATTAATATGGTATGTATTATTATAAAACACTCGGGGATCACCATTAAAATCTGGAGGTAAAGGTGGTAGTGACTTCTTGAGTTTATTTCGTTTTTTAATTCTACGTAGCCAATTCTTGGCACGTTTCAAATTTATCTTTTCCTTATTACTTCTTCCTTCATAAGATGGATGTATTGAGCCACGTTCAGCAACATGGCTTAGTTGATTAAAAACAACTGATTGTGTGTAATGATCAAGTCCTGGCCTGAGTAAATAAGGTTTATTATAATGAATTCTTCATTCAGAATTGATGATGCATTGTTTCAAAAGATTCCAACGTTTGATTTGTTGTGGTGAGCGAACGATGTCAAATTCAAGATTTCTATATTCTTTATAGAAAGGTCGAAGCGTGGGGATACCTTTCTTTGATAAAGTGATGGTTGGCTCCATAATTTCTTTCAAATTTTGATTATTGTTACCTTTGTAAGGTCGGTATCTTTTGATTACAACTTCATATTTCACGCCTAGTCGTGTTGAATGAACTTTTTTGGCTCGGGGATTATCAGTCAAGCATTTGTTACAAAGCAGGATTACTAGGAAATTTTGAATTGGTTTGTATATTTAAATTGACATTTTTTATATTTAAGAGGTGTGTTTGACATTTCCATCGATTTCTAGATAGAACGAAAGCTGCAGGTTGATCACAGTGTTTACCAAATCCAAATGAATTATTCATACCACATGGTAGATAGAATCCCAGGTAGATCACGTGGGAACCAGAACTAAATCTAATAAAAGTATTGGTTTGTCTATTTTTAATAATATCAGAAGATAATCTATTTTTAATTGCTAAAAATTTTACTAATAATAGTTGGCGTAAACGTTTAAAATATTTTTTAACGGTATCAGGTGAAAATTGTCGATTAATAGCAAATGTGAAGGTAAGGTATGTCCCTATTAGGTAGTTGATGTTAAGTTTTTTACTACTTGAATTGAAGATCCTTTGATGATCAAGAGTCATTTCAATATCATTGGTGAAAACGGTAAAAAAATTTTTCCTTGTTAGATCTAGATCAGCATGTTGATCTAACTCAATGAGGAAGTATCGAGCTTTTTTGGTGTTGTATAGTGTACCACTGCCACGTGTATCAGTGATTTCATATGGGTTGATTCTCTTCGTGTGAAAGGAAAAAGAGTAAGTATTGCAAGGGCGGTATAAACGAACAATAGCTTTGGAGCCTTCTAGAGGTCCTTTGGGGTGGGAGTTCTCTGTACATAAGTCCTTTTGAGAGGTTTCCATATTCGTTATTTAAAATTCGACAATCAAATAATTTTTTCGTTTATCAAAACTTACTGAAAATCACGTGACATAGACGATAATTCTCTACATTTATTACATTTTTAATAAATAAATAAACCACTTAAAAGAAATATTATTTATTGAAGTTTACCGTAATATATTAAGTACAATGCTTACGCTTACACTTGTTTGTTAATTATAAAATTCTCAAAACTTATCCTTTTTATATAAAATCCTTACAAATGCGAAGTACGGTATACGTATATGTCAATATTTATTCTCTAAATATCTCCATTTCATCTTTATAAAAATAAATCAATCAATAATTGTTTATTGAAAAATTTAATTAAATTTTAAAAATTTTTTTAACTGATCATTTTCAATTTAGTAATATCTAGTATTTGTAAAGATTGTGAAGTTCGTAAATATACTATTAAATGAAAATAAATATGTTAAATTTAGCACAAATCCTTTCCTAAAAATAAAATTTATCAATTACCTGGGTATTTCATGCTTGATATATTATCATATTGTTCATAATAACCGTCGGAATTTTTTGGCTCAGGTAGATTATTAAAATCAAGTAATCTACTTGTATAAATAGCTTCAGGGTGCGTTTCATATGATAAAGCTAAATTAGTTGAAGTTATATTATCAGTCGTTAAATTATTATTAATCTTTTCCGCGTCTTTAATTTGCTTTATTAATTCAGTCTCATAGTTTGGATTATCTGGATCCTTTCGGTAACTATTATATTCTACGAACCACCATTGTTCAAACGTTATTTTAATTTCATTTATTGTTGGTCTATTTGATGGACTTGCATCCAAGCACCTTTTAATTAAATGCAAAATCAATTTAGGTACTTTGATTTTAAAAATTGGTCTGAGTCCTTGACAAATACTTAATGCCAAAGGTTTTTCATGGTTCACTTCATGATAAGGAGGTAATCCTGAAATCACTTCATACATAATTATACCAAAACTATAGATATCAGCAGCTTTGGTATAACTTTGTCCTCGTAAAATTTCAGGAGCGATGTACGGTAAAACACCATATATTTTGTTATTTGTATTTTCTAATACATTATAATCTGCAGGCCTACATAATCCCACATCAGTTATCAAAGTATCTCCATCACTCTTTAATATATTGCCGATATGTAAATCCCGATGAATTAAGTTATTTTCATGAATATAATAGATTCCATTTGCAATTCTCCGTAAATTGCCAATCTTATCAAACCAATTTAACTTATAATAGGTCATATCTAGATAATTTCGTAAACTTCCATACTTTGCATAACCCAAAACCATCATATAGTCTTCTGTCTTTGGATCTTGAGTTATTCCATAAAATTTAATAATATTTACATCATCAGATGTTATTTTTTGTTTAGTTAGGTTATAATGTGACGTAATCTACATAATAAAAACATAGTATTAGTAGAAATTATATTACAATAATTCTATTAAAAATATATTAGTTAACACCTCATGGATAAATTCAAGCGTAATATTTTTCGAATTATTTATACTTTTCAGGGCTACCTCTTTATCTCCTGACCCTCTGTTCCAATTTTGATTATTATAATCCCATGTACTATGCATAGGTCCATCAATCCAATATGCTCTGTAAACTTTGCCAAACCCGCCTTTTGCAATATACTTAATATGACAAAATCCACTGTAGGGTATCCACTCTAATGCTTCTTTAATATCAGTTGCTGTTAGCTGAGAATCTTGAATGAATTTATCAATAGAATTATTACCACTTGTCCAATTTTTAAAGTTTTGCTTGAAGAATTTTATTTTATAAGGATGAAGCGACATATCTAATTGATCAATAATACCTTTTGATTTCTCTGCTAAAATACCAATATACAGTATATATATATGTCTATCTATACCAAAAGAAGTTTCTCCGATTGTTATTCATCGGAATTTAAAATCCGTTACTATGTTACACTACTTTTGACTTTATATTGTTGCGTTTCAGAAGTGTGAAAATCTGACATTTACCATTTCGGATTATAAGAAAAACAATTCCGAACACGGAACATATTTTAAAATGAATTAATAATTATATATATATATTCATTGTGTTCGAATTGAAACTTTACACTAAACATATCCTTAATATTATCAAGTTCCTTGGCATAACAGATAAGATGATCATGTAACGCAATTCAAATTAGAATAAACATTAAAATTTGGTACGAATAACGCGATATCCAATAAATTTTAAGATTACAATGGGTTTATATTATAGATGATAATTCATTTTAAATATAGCTAGCAATCATATTTTTTTTTTTGGATGTGCGATAAGGTTATAAGGGTTTTTTTGGGATTTTATTTCTATTTTTCTATACCATGTTTCAAAATTTTATAATTTTTATTTTTATAAATTTTATTATTGTTGATTTTAAAGTTGGGTATTTTTTTTTATTCAAAAATCTAAAAGGATGATGAAAACTTTATGTGACTTTCTTAACTTCTTATAATTTATTAATAATAATTTCATTTCAGTATTATTAGATTCATCTTAATTAAAGCTTAATTTTGAATAATATGTTTAATTGTTTTTTTCCTGAAAAATAAATAAATAGTACATTACAAAATTAATTTAACTAATATTAAATCCATTTTTACAACATACTATGATTATATTCAAATAGGACTATTATTTAAGCACAATTTTACTATATTTAGATAATATGGTGGTTATTAGCACAACGAAATTTCAAATATTTTACATAGGTATTACCCGTTAAAAAAATTAAAAATTATACTTCGTCAATTCTGCGGATCGACAAATAATAATAATATTTTTTTCGGTCATAATTATTTATGCAATACTTGTCGTGCGTTAGTTTAATCCATATCGAATGGTTTCTTTTTATCCACCGTCTTCGGATCATTGTTTTTAAAAAAGCGTCATTGTTATTGGTATAAAATCTTAATAATTAAATTAATTTTTGTTATTTACTGCGCCATTATTAATTATTTTTTCGATTTCGATTAAAAAAAATATAATAATATTTTTTCTGACATTAATATTTGTTCATAATTGTATCATTTATAAATCGACAAAATCGACAAAAAAAATTGGTAAGAATTACATCATTTTTTGACTTAATAAAGTTAGTAAATGTGAAAATAAAAATAAAAAAAAGTTTTATGAGAAAAAATTATTAAGTGATGTACAAGACGCATAAATCGTTACACGTAATGTTTTATTAGGTAAAATACGCCCAATTTTTTAATTATATATATATATTTTTTTATAAAGAAAAGAAAATGTTTTTTTTTTACATAAAAAAAAAAACGAAAAAATTTCTAAAAAAAAACTTTTCTGATTTAATTTAAAAATTTTAAAAATTTAAACAAAAAAAAATGCCTGATGCGGAAGGAGGAAGTTTAACTTGTAAGAAATATTCGATCTCTTTAGGGATCGTATTTGTTCTTTTGGTAGCCGTCTCTTTGGTACAAGGAATAGTTGCGATTACTTTTGGTGCATTATTTCATTCATATTCTTTGAGTACGTTTGGTATCTCATCTGTAGGACAAATCGTAATTATTTATTACATTTATCATCAACTCGTAACTGAACATATTGCGAGAAAAATATCTTCTGTACCTACAGAAACTACACCAATTTTAAATAATACTAGGAATAATATTAATAATCGTAGAGCAACTGAAAAGAAGATTGCTGTTACTGGAATGTTGATTTATATTTTATTAGCTGGACTTACGTTATTTTCCATATTTTATATTAATAAAAAAATGGATGGTGAAGATCCTAATAATCCTTCTAAACCACCATCAGATGGTGGTCCTCATGATAGGACTAGACCACCCATTCAAATTTTATTATTTTCTATATATTCTATACATCCTTTTTTTATTTTAACACCTCTCGCTTGGTATCTTACTTATTCTACTAATAGTCCATGTCCAGCATGGAGAAATGCGACCATTTGGTCCGTATTATTATTCCTTATGGCTTATACTCAATTTATAAATAGTCAATTATTTTATTTTGTTAAATGGGGAACTAGAGAACTTGTTTGTACTATAATAATGACAACATTATTTTTAATATATGCTATCAGATTATTTGCATTATACGTATGGAGAGGTGGAAATTATGAGAATATTGAACATTAAAATATTCTAAATCAAAAAAAAAAAAAAAATTTTTTATATATATATGTATATTTTTGTGTTGCGCGACTTTTTTTTTTTTTATTACCGTACACTTTTTTGTCGTGTCATTTTGTTTCTTGTTGAGAAATTGTTTCTTGTTGGAAAGTTACTGCTTAAATTAATGAACTATTGTAAATTATTACAATAAAAAATTATATGACATTGTTTATAAATTTTCTAAATATATATTGTATACTTTATGACTAATTGAACGTCAAATTGACTAAAACATTATTTTTCAGCGATACAGATGTAACGTATCGATTTTTATTATAAAAAAAAATTTTTTTTTTTTTTTTTCTCTTAAATATTGTTGATCGTTGTTCAAAAATTGTAATCTTGTAAATGCATCATGTCATCATTTAATATTACGCTTTGTTGTCTTATTCATGGAAATAATATTTCAGCCGCATTTCCTGTTAAGGTTGATAATGACAAAACTATTGGTGAACTAAAAAAAATTATTAAAGATGAGAATACTAATGAATTTTTTGGAGTTGACGCAAAAAATCTAACGTTATGGAAAGTTGAGATTCCAGTTAATGATGAAGAAATAAAGCAACTTATCTTACAAGATAATCAAAAAACAAAATTGCTTGGAATTCGATACATTGAAGATTATTGGACCGATTCACCACCCAAAAGATGCATTCATGTAATCGTTGAACCACCAGTAGTTGCTAGTGAGTAAATAGATCATAATAAAATCACTCAAAAACATAATAATAAAAATAATGTTTTATCATTCGGGTACACATTATCATTTGGATCAACTAGTCTCCAACCAATCTACTTCCATAGCGAAAATTACTCATGACATGGAAAACTTTGTATGTTTGTTCGTTAATGTAAATAAAGCATTATAACTTTTTTATACTCACGTTCATGAAATTTATTTTTAAGAGTCTGGATAATCATATGAATGCGAGCGTACCAGTTTCATTGTCTCCTAATTTTTTTCCAGAATTTCTTAAAATTTTGAAAGAAAATTCCGAGATTATGAAACAAATAACGCTTTCGCTCGAACAAGAGAAGAATCGTAAAAGAGAATTTGAAAAAGGTAATACTCAATTACAAAATTATTTTTATACTTCCTTTTTTATTAATCTCTCATATTTCAGACACCTCAGAATCCATGATTGTTGAAGCTAAAGCTGAAGGTCACAATGACGTCTTATTTACATTTGATCCGCAGAAGTACTTTCTTGGTGAATGTAAATCATCTAAATCATACCTAGGTGAACTCTCCAAATCGATTAATGATCGTTTACTAAAAAATCCATTAGTAGAAAAAACCGAATTGGCAGTTCAAACATATTTTAATGAATTAATGGATATTTTTAATTCAAAATATAAGAATGAAATTATTACTAAGGGTAAAGATAATAATCAATCATACCTTAATAAATTTATGCCGGATTTTAGTATACTTAAGGATGATGATACTATATCCTTTCGATTTAGTTATTTTGTTAAAATAGAATATCGAATTAAATTACATACTACTAATTAACTAGTAAATAATAAAGATGTGATAATTTAATCAATTTTTTCGATTAAATTCTTCAAATTGTAAGTTATAAAATTATTTAAAACGAAGAAAAAAAAAATTTTTTTTTTTTTTTTACAATAACGTTATTTTAATTACTTTATATTATGTATGTGTACATTGAATTTTTTAACTTTGTAATAAAAATTATTTTAAGTTAAATAAAGGAGAATGAAAAAATTTTTTTTATCGAAAAACCGTCCAAAATCTATGGTAAATCCCTCGAATCTCTTTTTTTTTTCGGTTTACACGGTTTTACAGTCAGAACTCGATACCTAACACTCCGGTTAGGCAATTCCGGAAATATTCGATAAATCAAAATAAGATATCGATGATATATTGCTATATGTAGGAGTCTAGAAGATAAAATTCTGTATATAAAAATTGTTATAATAGTTTATAGTGTTTTTCTAGTTTTGGCCAGACAATGATTCAGGTGACTTTTGCGTTGCATTTATAAAAGTGCAGAAAAAATAAGTTAATCCCGGTCAAAGTTAGGCAATAAGCTTATCGCGAATAGATGCGGTATGATTTATGTTCATCGTGAAATTTACAGTATACAGTACAATATTGTAATAAAACAAATTATCAAGTTCTGACTGTGTGCTCGTGACATGAATAGAGCAATAAATTTTATTTTTTTTACCAGAAATAAAATAGGTTTTAACCTAATTTTATTAGCAAAAATATCAATTGAAATTAGACACATAACTAATTACATACAGTATAAGGTTGCGAGGAATTACGGAGAGAAATCAAAAATTTACTTATAAAAGAAGATGAAAGAGGATAAAAGAGTAGGATGGACTCAATGATGAAAAAAGAAGAATGTAGTACTAAATATCTAAAAAAAAGAATACCTAAAATAAAAAATTGGTAAAAGTAGTTGACAATCAAAAACCCAGTAAGAAGTTGAAACTTGAAACTGACTTGATAGCAAAAAATTAACGATATGCAAGTAAACCAACTATTACTACAAAAGAGTTCAATTATTAACAATGATACGGTACCTCGACAGGACAACAGGCAATCAAGAAAATTGAATTAATTAGACAAATACGCAAAAATGAGCCCCAAGTTTCCAAGGTCCTAACAAGTCAACTGTCAACTATATTATTTAAGTGACCAAGTGACCATCAAAAAAGGGTTGAAATTTTACTAAATTAGTTTTTATAAAAATTCGAACGCGAATTGAATCACGATTAAAACCGTTTTAACGTGAAATAATATTATTGTGGCTTTTTTACATTGTATGAACTTGTTACTGAAAGTTAGCCAAGTTAGCCCTGCTGAAATTTTTTAATAACGTCGTGACTGGTTTTTTTGCGATATATTTCCCATTCAATATGTCATATGGTCATACAGTTATGTTTATAATAGCTTCAAGTTCAAGCTAGGCCTCAGAGTCTCAAACTCAAATTAAGTCAATTTCAGCCTTAAATAAACCTGTTTAATAGAGAAAAAGTGAAACAGCCACAGAATGGATTTCATCACATGATTTCTACTTTCGTTAAAAACGCGTTATGTCATTCCGAAAACAAAAAACAAATTACGCAAATTACACGCTAAATAATTAAATAATTAACGAAAAATTTACTCAATTTAAACGTTATGAAAGTACAACTTTATTTTACAATATTGTCACAAATAATATCACTTTAGATAATACAAAAGAAAAATAAAAGTACATTATTCATTGATCACATAATCTAATAAAAAATTTGAAGAAAAAAAAGAATTTTTTTTTTTTTTTGTTGATTATTTACAAATGTTTTAATATTTAAAACCTTCTTAAATTCTACAACGATCCATTCCGCCGCTGATTTTTTGTTGCTCCTGGATGTTTTGTTGTTTTTACTGTAGTTTTGTTTTTGTTAGGTAGGTTAGATGAGTTAGGTGAATCTATTATTTCTATAATAGGAGATTCCCAAATTACGAAATCATTCATATTTTTTGGATTGCCAAAAGGTTTCAAAATTCTAAGTAATGCTTGATATTGTCCACTCGGTACAATGACTTGATTTCCATTAATGTCTGAAACAATACGGGTATCCCAAGGTTTATCTGTTATTTCATTAGATGGACCATTACGTCCGATCTGAATACTAGGGTTACTAAAATCTTTGTGAAGTACTGGAATTCCTACAAATCCATTTGTAGTAAAATCTCCTCTTTTAAATAATTCTATTACAAGAAATCTAGCACCATAATTTAAAAAAAATCGAAAAACTGGAAAATCGTCACCATTAAATGAGAACTGGCCTATTTGATTTGGTTGATCAAAAATCTCACCAGTTAAATAGTTAACAATGAACGGTGGTGGATTATTTGATAACATAGGGATTTTACGTATATCACCTTTAACTCCTAAGTATGGAAGAGTAGATTTTATTCCTTGTTCCGAATCTTTTATTGAAATATATCCTGAATAAATACCAAAATCATTTGGCAAATTTTTTGGTTGAGTAAATTTAATTTTTATAGATGTTGATTTTCCGGGTCGTACGGTGACGGAATTTTTTGAAAATTTTACTCCAGCAAAACGTTTTTCAATAACAAAAGATGATGTCTCAACCCATGTATTATTAAACCATCCTCTTACTGAAGGTGTTGGAATATGATCGAATGTATATTTAGTTGTTTTCTTTCCCGTATTTTTTATGGTAATTTTATGATTTCCTACAAAGTGAGCTGAATCATTAAGTAATAATTTTGATGGATGAATAATCGCTTTCGTCTTTATAGCTTCATTGATATCAAGAAGTCCACCTCCTTGTTTATCGACCGAGAATGGAAATTTTGTAGTATTATAAATTGGTTTAGCACTATATACTAAAAGATCTCTAAGTTTTAATGGATCAAATTTTCCATTTTTTAATCCCTTTGCTTGCATATAAAGTGCTATTGTTCCAGATGTATAAGCTGCTGCCATTGATGTTCCTAAAGTATAAAAAAATATACATATCAATTTAACAAAAAATTTATCTTTAATGACATTCTACACAAACACAATTTTATAAACTTACCAGTAAGTGTGGCGTATTTACCCAAATTTACCGGGTATGTACTAAAAATACGACCACCAGGAGCCAAAAGGTCAGGTTTGATATCAAATTCAAAAGTTGGACCCCATGAAGATTCATTCGAAGGTTTACCGGCGGAACTAAGGGGTATAGTAACTTTCTTATCAGGGAAAGAAACTGTTAAATTCTTATTCCTTCGAATTTGTCGTTTTAAATATTCTCCATCTACGTCACTAATAATCGCGTCTGGAGTTTTACTCAAAGATATAACTGGTAAAAATCCGGTAACTTCACTATCATAAAATACTACTCCTATTGCACCAGCTGCCACAGCATTGCCAATTTTAACACCAAAACCACAACCTCCACGACGTATTAAAGCTATTTTATTGGTAAAATCTTTATTATTATAAGATACACAACCATCAGATTCGGGTAAGTTAGTTGTAGTGTTTGCAATAACAATTGGGAGAGGACCAGGAAGACGATATCTTAGAGTTATACGATCCGTGTTATAAACTACAATAAGATAATAATAATATTTTTCTTTAATAACATGTAAAATGAATTATATTATACAAACAAATTTGTTACTTACGTATTTCTTTTTTAGGATCATTGCTTGGTATTAACACGAAAGAAAGGTATTGAATATTGTCAACGTCACCAACAGATATGATATTAGTTGAGGAATCAGGATTACCTGATGTAAATAAACCTTCTTCACCAAGGTTAGAAGCGGCGACAACTACAACAAATCCTTCACTAGATAATTTATTAACAGCAATTCCAAGAGGGGTATCGTTCCAACCTCGAAAATCTCCTCCTAAAGATAAATTTATAATATCCACTTTATCATTTCTGGCAAATTGCATTCCTTGAATAAGTATATCATCTCCAGTACTAGAATTACAATCAATAGCTCTATAAATTCCGAGCGTAACTAAAAAATTTATACAATGGTCAATTTTTTTTTTTAAAAAAAAAATAAAAATAAAAAAAATAAAAATTTGTATAAATAAAGATTTACCTCCCGGGGCCACCCCAGTAAAACCTAGTTCGTGATCATCCGCGGCGATGATACCAGCAACGTGTGTCCCGTGACCCTCACATGTTTCACGAGGATCGTTGTCAGGGACAGGATTTACAGAATCTCCAACACCAATTAAGTCAGTACCGAATTGAGTCTTACATCCTGGTGTCTTAAAACAATTTCCAAATGCTGGATGAGTGTAATCAAGTCCATTATCAATTATTCCAACTTTAATTCCTGTGCCATCTAATCCAGTTCTTTGTCGAAAAACGTCAACACCACTTATTTTATGAGCGGTGAATAACCTTGGTTTAAATTTTCTCTGAAAAAATAATTTTAGTTGATGAATTAATATATTTATGAAAGTATTAAATGTTGTATAATACATATGTATAATACATACCACAGGCCAAATATTTTCGATTCCATATATTTTAGAACATTTAATGACATCATCATTCTCGTTAAATCTAATAGAAACACTATCAATAAAATCCAAATTAAATCGATGAGTATAATTAATTCCAGCATTTTCAATTCTATCTAATATAATTTTTGGTGTTAACGTTGAAGAATATCGTATAATATACACATTCTCGAAGGTAACGGTATTATCTGGGTGTACTTTAATTGGTGCATCGCCAAGAGTAATCGAAAATGTGTAACACAATAAAAGAAGACGGATGATAATTTTGTTCAGAATATTCATTCGGCCTTCTATTATAAAAAAAAAAATTGTAAAAAAATAAAATTCTTTTTCAAAATATTGTTTTTTTTTTGGTAAAGAGATAAAATGAAATTTTTTTTTTTTTAAAAAAAAAGGTATCAATTGGGAAAAAGAGGGAAGGATAAACACATCATTTTATTTAAAAAAAAATTTCTATAGTAATAAATTAAATTATTAAAGTAAAAAAAAAAAATTATGATATAATATTATATAATAAACATTAGTCATATATATAAAAATAAATAAAAAACTGATGAACCGCGTTTATTTACATATCCTCTCTATTTTAAGATCTTTCTTCTTTCAATTTCCACATCTTACTTAAGTTGTATAATGGAGACAATTTCCCCTTTTACAAACGAGGCGTAAAACTAAGATTATATTTATTGAAACTTGGCTGAGTTCATTAAAAGCCATTCCTTTCTGGCTGAGTAAAAATAAATAAAAATTATTCGTCACCAGGTCAAAAAAAAAAAAAAAATTATATATCATTAATATTAGAAATTTAAGGTTCATTTTTTTAATAACTAAAAATAGCTTCGGGTATCGAATGACATTTAGTTTCAATAGTTTCAATAAAAAAAAAAAGAAATTATAATAGAGTCTTATGTCAATCAAAATCAGAAATATATATACCAAAATGATTTACACGAAGTATTTTGTAAATGACCTCATTAGGATTTCAGGTTGCATAGTATGCATAGTAATGCAATAATGTGCATATTATGCGTTTGAATCCATTAAAATCATTGTTCTATTCTGGCGTATACCCAAATATAGTTCTATTTTTTTTATTTTGGTATATTTGAGTATATATAATTATAAATTGGGTTTAAACCATTTTCTTAACAATCATAATTATAATTTAAGCGATATTAAATTTCTTTAAAGAAATCATCCCTTATTATAATAAAATATGTATAAAATATTATTGTAATAATTGACGCAAAAATTCGGAATTTGATGACATAAAAATTCGGAAATACCCCATAAAGCACAATACCAAAAGTCATTTCGTTATAGAATTCTAAATGAAAATAGAAGTCATTACACGAATTCCCGCCAAAAGATATATATACACAATTACACATATAAAGTATATATACACCGTATATATTATAAGTATTTTAATGAAAAAAGCCAAGAAAATTTATCCGGAGATAAAAAATATTCTTTGGAAGAACGTTTCTAAATTAGTAACATGATAGAAACTTAGCCTTTATAATCATGACGTCTCTCAAAAAAGGATGCATAAAGACGCAATAATATGAAACAATAACATTAATAAGGATATCTTGTTATAAAAATAAGGCATGATATATAAGATAATCATATGATTCATGATGTGATTTTAGGAGTCGTAATAAAGATAAAATTATATTACGCCAAAAAATTTTAAACAGAAAAGAAAAAAAAAAAAAAATTTTTTTTTTTTTAATAGTCCCCGAATATTTTCGTATTCATATTTTTTTAATTTTACGCACCTTCTCATGTCAAACCTAACATTTTTGTGTCACAATAGCACGACATATATTATATTCATAAATGGTTAAGATTTTGTAAACAAACTCCAATTTGATGTTATACAGTTTTCACAGAACAATGCCAACTTTTTTAACTAACCCTTTTTTCTATGAGAGATGTTTTACAGATTTTTAATTTATTTATTATTAATTTAAATTCCTTATTAGGGAAATATCTTTTTATTATTAAATTTGACAAATGTGTTAATGCACGATTATCAAACAGGTTTAAAGTCTGGTTGAATACAAAATATCAAACGTATAACTTTCCCCGCATTTTTAAAAGTGAAACATATTAAATATTTTTTTTCTATCTGCATTATCAAAAAAATATACATTATATGCAATCTGTGATGCGTAAACAAACAAAGTAGTTCTCAATAATGAACAAGTAGATCCTTTGAAGGGGATGTTTTAATTTCCTACATTATATTTGAAGATTATTTATTTAGGACGAGATTAATTATATTAATTATCATATAAGAGAATAATAGCACGTAGCGTTGTAGCGTCGTAGCGGGTATGTAATATCAGATATGTATTATTAATAACGAGGAGAATATATAATATATAATATGTTATTATCATAATTTCCCTATTAATTATAATAAAAATAATTATAAATGTCGAATAATTATAAATGTCAAATAATTATAAGTGTCGGGATAACCATATTATATTTCTGTTCAAAAGTTATTAAATCCGATTTTTTGACTTTAAATAATAATAAAAAAAAATTTTTAAAATGGTTTAAACAAGAATTAGCCATCATAATTCACTAATTCATTCTAGGTGAGGCGAAAATTTTTTAGGTCTTATTGGTGAAAATCAATCAAATGCTCGTGTAACGCTAGTTGGTTAAACATCACAACTAATATATCGTTACGCTTCAAGACACTTTTCTTGAACTTTTTTAATTTAATAAACATTTAATATTTATGCAAATAAAGATTTATTTGTATTTGATCAAGCTTTTTTGTTTACTATTTACAATAAGTTTGAGTGAGGCGTTTAACTTTTTTATGGCGTAGTCAAATATTTAATTTTCCCAAATGATATAAGCCTTTTTAAGGCGCAGTTATGAATTAAAACTTATTTGGTATTTCAAAATGAAAAAAATTATTAGGCGGATATAAGACGCCTCAAATTTGAATATTAACTAAATTTGAATTTGTCAATAATTTGAAAATCTATTAAATTATTAAAGAGGCAAATTACAAGATTCTTTGAGAAATGAGATTAATTAAATTTATAATAGCCTCAACTCACCAGGTTTTTTCTCGTGATAAATTATATCATATCTTGAAATCCATTTTTGGTATTATAGTTTAACTGTTCGTATTAGGTTTTAGGTTAAATGTAATCAAATATAAGACTAGTAATATACAATTATTTAATGACGATGGTTTTTTTTCAATTTTATACATAATAAGTAATACTTGACAAAATATGCATACTTTTAGTTCAAAAATCCAATATATACTAAATGTAATGTAATGTATTATTAATTAAATATAAATGTTTTTTTAGTTTAAATTTCAATCGTTCAATCAAATTTCAGCTTTCATAATAATGATCTTATGTTTAAATTAATTAATATTAATTATTTACTTTATATTTATTTTATTTATCTGCAAGTTAATAAAATATTTACTGAATATCGATCACATGCACGAAAATATTTTTATATTAATTATTATAAACTGTGCAAATCTATTGATACCGTGCCTCGTAAATCGTATTACTTAATTCACACGCTAATTGCGTCATATCAACGCTTTTATATCTCATTAATTCCATTTCTAAATTATATTATATCACAGCCATTTTTTTTTTAAAAGCACAATGGTTTGTAACAATAGATTATTTAGACTTCATTTAAAATTTCCATTTTTTTTTGTTACTAGTATGAATATGATAAAATAATAAATAGCGCGAAATTCAATTCAAATAGCTAAAAAGCATTTTTTTTTTTTTTTAAAAAAAAAAAATGTTTTATTTTTCCTATTTTTTTTTCTTTTGAGATGACGTACTCATTGAGATTATTTAAAATCTTGGAAGCCTAGGCTGGTTCTTTCACTTTTTTGGGTCATTGCGCCACACGATCTGTCCTGCGCCTTACATGTGACCACTGAATACTGAGTTTTCAATGAAACCATATACTGACATTAATTAAATTATTCCTGTTATACCTGTTGTGACATTTGTACGTGCGAAAAATTGGTAATCAGATCTCATCAAACCTCCGTTAGAGTTGGACGAAATTTACAAAGAATAAAAATCAAATTCGGCAAAATTCGGCAAAATTCGGCAAAAAAAAAATTTATTTATCTCATATTATAAATAATAAATACGTACAAAAAAAAAATGTGATATATGCTAACTTATATTTGCAAGTTCTGGTAATATCTGTGTAACTGTGTTTTTTATTCTAAATGGCAATTCATTTTTAAAAAAAAGAAAGGAGGAACTTACTTTCGAAAGTTTTTCATATCTTTTATTTTAACTTTTGAAGTATTATCGAAAATAATTATAATCACTCGTGAAAATATATTAAATGTGAAAATATATAATAGTGAAATTTAAATTTAAACATCAGTTATAATTACGTAAAAAATGCGTCCCGACTTCACGCTAACGAAAATATCTCTAATTTACTCTAAAGATTTCAATATCATCAACTTCAAATTTTATATCCCCACCATCAATAGCATTACCATCAATTAAACCATAATAACCACTAGGAGATATAGATAAATACTCATAATCCAATTCTAAATCACCGGCACCAAAGGTAATTACTATAGGACAATCATAAATTGCACATGATGGTACAGCTACACGATTAATGACCATATTTTGTGTATCATTCTTATCTTCAAATAAAAATATAAAACTTTCTGTAGAAAATAAATATTTATTTCTACTAATACATTTTGGCCATCCAATAGAATTATAACCACCAAATATTTCTTCCGAATGTTTAAGTTTAATTAAAATTAATATAGATCCTTGACCACTACATATATTTCTAATAATTTTAATACCATCCCTACTTTTACGATAAATAAGTTTAAAATTATTTAATATATCATTTTTATTAAGTATAACAATTGAATTATTTTTTCTATTAATCCAATTATTAATTATATTAAATTGGGTTGATTGTATAATCTTTGATTCAACTTTTAAAATGATTCTTTTTCTAGGTGAAAATGATGTAATTTTTGGTAATTTACCTTTATAATAAAATTCTTCTATTTCATCATTAATATTATAAGGTATGATCATCTTATAAGGTCTTACTTTATCAAAATAATCGGCTGGTGGAATTTTTGTAAATCGTATAAGTGGAATAAATTCATTCAAAGTTTTCTTTAATTCTTTTAATTCTTCATAATTCTTATTATTCCATTTAATTATATCTCCATTTTTACTTTTTAAACTTGGAGTTTGTTTAATACCCCATTTAATTAAATAATCCCAAGCGTCAATTTCTTCAATTTGTAAATCACTTCGTTCAAGTAAATCATAAAGAATATCTTTATCAAGTGATAAAAACTCCTTTGAAGTAATAAATGGTTTAGGGTCTAAACAAATTAATTCGAAACAATAATCTCTTAATTTCTCACATCTTACAAGTTTAAATACAGTATGAAGAACTTGAACCAAATTTTCATGAATCCAAATTGATCGTTCTCTAATTAAATAATCTTGAACATAATTAAATAATTCTTCAAGAAGTAACTCGTCAGTTGCGACTAAAAGTCCAAGAATATCTTCATCTAGATCATCTGTTAAGTCAAGTTCACCTGTATAAATATATCTATGTTATTTATTATAAAATAGAAATTAATTAACTTATATAAAAAGAATATTTTATGACACACGTTAGTAAAGTACTCACGTTAAAATCATATCGAAAATTATCGGAGTAATATTTGGTTTTTTGAATACAATCATACTATTCTCATTTGTAATCCATCCTTTTGAAAATGCTCCTTTAAAATATGAAGAACGAGCACGTAAAATTACTGAATGTGCATGAAATTCTTTTATATTTTCATTATCACCAACTTGAATAATAACATTATAATCATCAGCATCATATAATATTAAAGAAAGGTCTTTTGAAAGGTTAGAATGAAAATTTGAAACCATTTTTTTTAAATGTATTATAGAATTTTGGAATTTTGCGTGTATTTATTATTTATTTATTTGAGTTTACACGAAAGTATTTACTTAAAATAGATGACGTTAACAAATTTACCAAATGCTACTATACGACGCAGCATAATCAGTTAATCACTTGTATCATCATTAGAAGCATCATATTAGGTTAGATCGTGATCGTACTGGGAATACAAATTTTTTTTCGGGAAAAACTTTTCAAAATTATATTCTCTTACTTGATCTACTAGTATTAATTAGAATATGGAATAAATATGTACAAATTCTTTTTTTGATCCTTTGCGGGGTTTGCGGGGGGAAGGATTTGGATATTTAATAAAATTTGATTTTTTATTTGACCAACCAAATTGTAATTTTCTTGTGGCGCATAAATAATCACATGAATTAAAAAATTATTTTTCACCAAATTTGGTTTAGTGGTTTTTCCATAATAAATTCCGTCCTACATTTTGAAAATCTTTTTATTCCGCCGTAAACTCTTTTTTTTTTTTTTTTTAAAGCGAAAATTAATTAATTTATTTCATATCTCAAATTTATATAAATCTTACAAGTTAATAGAAATACCCTAATAATTTATTATTTAAAGGTTCTTCAGATTCTTTTATAGGTCACTTACTGTATTTGTTTAATTGAAGAAAATAATAAAAGTTTTTTGTAATTTATAATTTGATACACCACATGAAGTTACGTCATAATATGTGTGATCCATTCTGTACAACATTCAATTTTTTTTATTTACTTCTAAATCACAATCTGATATCTTTTTTTTTATTCGAGTTGAACGAAAGACACAGTATTTTGAACATTTTTACTTCTACATCGTCTATTTAACATTTTCGTTAACGCATCACCCAAGACATTGGATTCTTTGATAGTTTCGAAGATCAGGAATGCTGATGCGATGGAAAAAGCAGTTCTCGAGCGCACCAAAACATGAAATCATTCTGATTGATAAAGAAAAGGGAAAAGTAATGTTAGCTTACAAGGTATGTTTGATTTGTTGTTCAATATTATTACCTAGAGAATAATAAGCGTCTGAAAATCTTGTCATTGAAATAGTAGGCGTTCTTGATGCCAGGCTGAAGCTGAAAAATGCTTCCATTTAAATGGTATCGCATCTCTACTAGATATTAAAACTACCACCAGATTCAATAAAAGTATTCACATGAACCCGTTGAGCAGTGAATTATTTTATTTCGCTTTAAGATGGAAAATTCAAATTTTTGCGTAAGAAATTCCTCGATGCTTTTTTGGAAAAAAGATTATTAAATTACCATGATACAGAGAATAAAGTAAGAGACGACGAGACGATTTATAGTTCAAGGAATAATGAAATATTTAAGTGACAATTATAAGGTATGTTTATTATTTAGAGTATCTTATGATTCTTATCATTTTCCTATTGATCTTCTTTTAAATAGAATTAATAGATTTTCAAGTTGAAGATAAGGTTAATTCAAATGTGATTTTACGTTTCTACATGTGAAATTTTTTATTGACAAATTAAGCTAATTTTGCAACAGGAGCGAATCAATCATTTTACTTAAAATTTGGGGCATATTTTCGTAACGACCTACATGGTGAGTTATTTTTGAAGAGAGTTTACATGTACTGTACAAAGTATTTTCTAACATATTTTCTGATCTGATGAAAATATTAGAGAATGGATTTGACGAATGGAAAAGACAGAATTTTACGATTCTTCTTTGTGATTATTCAATGACAATGTTAACTTGGCCAGAATTTTTAGTGAGTTTTGTCTTCTGATATATTAATTCATGGTGAGTGGTATAAATTTTGCGATTGAAGGATTGTTAATTGATAGAAATTTAAATTTTAAATAAAAACTTTTTTTTTTAGGTCATTGCCGAAATTATAATGGAAAAATGATTAATATTCATTGCTTAGATGTTTTGCTTGGTTATTGATTATTAACAAAATAACTTTCGCGTGTATGCCTCAACATAATGACAAGGATAAGTCTAAGGAAAAAGAATATTAAGCGTGTATTACAATAGTATAACATAATGAATCAACAGCAAATAATTGCAATAGTAATTTTTGTCGTTTTTAATATGGAGTGTTATTTATTACTCGGTTGCAATTTTCTCGCGTAGTTAGGAGTTTGGATTATCGATGGGAGATAATTGGCGCTGTTGTTAAATTATGGTAATTCCTGCTAACAGCGCTAAAAACGAAACAAAGGTCAAAAATATCGGTATGTATATTAATATATTGTTGATTATTAAATCTAATAATTTTTATACTAAATTCCACATTATAATATCTTAAGGGAATATTACAAGTTTTTACTTAATACCAACTTAACTAATTTACTATTAAGAAATAAGTCTTTCATACGAAGGAAAATGTTCTCTCTTATAAGGTATTTGCTGTTAATGTAATATTACATGCATGTAATTACTTTGATTTATCTTTATATTACTGTGATTAAGAAGATAATTTTGATTTTAATTATTAAATTACTTTAATTTAATACTTATTTTATGTTTAAAAATAATTGAATGCTGCAGGTACCATCTTTATATACTTTCCCAAAACGGTATATTTTTTAAGTCTCTTTAAAAGAATACTCATAAACTTCGAGATAACAAGATTCAAAAATATTTTCAAAGTCGGGACGAATTAATCCTCGTCACCCCAGCTACTTAAATTTTATGGTTTAACGAATTGGTCAGATACTTACAATTAAATAATTTATCAGATCTATAATTTCATCTCTGTGCGTATTATTAGATTTAGGGCTTTGATTTCTTTTAATATAATTGGCGTTTCTTATTTTTCTTTTAGTTGATTTTGAGTATTTGTCAATTGGGTGCTGTATATAGTATATCTGTTTCACATATCTGACTATTTTTATTTGATGATTCATTGATTCATCTTGTAAATTAGTTTTTTTGTGGGTACAAACTTTCGTTTCTTGTTTCAGATCTAGCTAACTGACTACAACAACCATGACAATGACGACAATGACATGATAAAGTCCATTTAGCAATGCACAAAAACTGCATAAATATATTATTATTATTAAAAAATGCGTAAACAAGTTCAATATAATATATCCATGAAAAACTAATTATATAATGATAAAATAAAAACTAATTAAATGACGAAAAATAAATTAAAAAAAAGTAACAAAGAAACGTCTTAAAATATTCTTTTCCACAATAAATACAATTTTAATACTATCCATTAAAATAAAGTAATATTAATAAATTTAATTTTAATCTGTATAAGAAATAGGGTTTAAATTTTGTGCGCGCCCGCGCATGTGCGTAAGAAGGTGAAATTCATCATATCATAATTATCACGTGATATTTATTATTCATCACGTAACTTCAATTTTTTTTGCGTTTGAATAAAAGCATGTAAAAAAAAGTTTTTTCTAATGACCATTTAAGCATGAACTTTTAAAGTTTTATTAACAAAAAGTTCCTTATTAAGGTGAAACTTTATCATTAGGAGTTCATAGATAAGCCGAAAATGCTTTAGAATTTAGCAAGATGGTTAGAATCAAGAGATGATGTCTTATAGGTTTCATATCCAGGACTTGAATCACATCCTTATCATAAAAATGCTAAAATATATGCGGAATGGATTTAGATGTATTTTGGCTTTTGGTGTTAAATGTGATGCTAATATTGGAGCCACATTCATTTGGTTCTGCAAGGTAAGAAGGTTAACCCAATTTATACATGAAAATTTTAAAATTATTATTATTATTTCTTTAGTCATTTGGCAAATGTGGAAGACGCAAAAACTCTCGTGATACATTCTGCTTCAACGACACATTAAAAAAATTAAAGAAATCAATTAATATTCTTAACTTTTGTTCACGTATTCTATTTTCACGTTCAGATAATAATAATATTATTTATCTTATATCTAGATAAAAGAACACTACTATTATTATAATTATTGTTTTTATTTAATGGGGAATTTGAGTCAAAAATATGAATTTATTAACATTTATAATAGGTAAAAAAAAAATAAAGATATTTTTGAATCATTATCTGTTATACACTGATAGTCTGATACACATTTATGCAAAATGATTTTCAAGTGTTAAACTATTACACTCTAGACATGTTTTACGATGTAATACCAATAAGGCCTTTAACCAATAATGTCATAGAACGTTAGAATATGCAAATATTTTTTGCATAGTATCTAGTAAGAGAACCTAAGCCTAATAATTTTAATAGAGATAAAATTATTTTCTTCTAGAAGGATGATTGCTCTTGTATAATTTACATAATTTTTGGAATATCATTAATATGCAAATAGCATGTAAGAACAAAAAAAAATATTTGAGATGGAAAAGGCCTACTTTTTTTTAATAAAAAAAAATTTACTATATTTGTGTTCATTGTAATGAGTTTTATAATAATTATCCCATAAAAGTAATTATACACCTCAATTTGTCGTACACAGACCTTATTTTATATACAAAAGAAAATAATTTTTTTTTTATTTTCCAGTTCGTTGATTTGTACTTTCCATCATTGCATAATATTGTTTAATTTTTTATGTGATTTTCTAAAACCTTTATCATTATCTCTCAATTTTTCAGCAAAAGAAAGTATACTATATAAGTTTACTGTGCCCATATGGGTGGGTGGTAGCATGCTAACACAATTGTTATGAAATGAAAAGAAATGACAGGTTAATGTAACATTAACATAACTAACTTTTTAATTAACATTTGTTAACTGCCAATCATATTAAAATAGAAAAGCTTGATATTAAATGTATTATGTAATTGGCAAATAAATGCTAAATATGAGGGATCATCATCTTAAAAGGAAATCACTCGAAACTAATCTTATGTTAAATGTAATAAATAAAAAATGATAATCACATGAAACTGGCAACGATTACTGCTGGCAAAATTATTTTTTTTAAAAAATCTCATCTGTAATTATTGCCATTTTGAATTACTGTAAGACAGTATAAATAGGAAAAATAAAATAAGAAAATAAATTTTCTTAAAACCCATAATAACAGTAAATTTTATAGCATTTTGAAACAGAAAAGATATGATAAAAACTTAGGTTATTACATAAAATTTTAAAAAGTTGTTTATATGCAAACTTGCTGAAGAATTAAAGTTTACTGCTCTGAAGATAATGTTTTTGTGTAATTTAAAAAATGGCGATAATTAGTTTTACCAATATTATAATTTACATATACAAGAAATTTGATTGTTTGATTATTATGACAAAACCAAAATTGCCTTTTTTGGAAACTTGAGTAACGTTATACAATCCCAAAAGGCAATTTTGTTTCTCATAAAAATCGAGAAAATGGGTTACACAAGATTCCAAAAAGGCAATTTCTATGTCGATCATTTAATTCCGGCCAAAATTAAAAAATCACGTGACGCCGGCGATAAATAGCAAACTCCTTGTTTAAAAGATAAAAATTTAGTTTTTTNAGAAAATGGGTTACACAAGATTCCAAAAAGGCAATTTCTATGTCGATCATTTAATTCCGGCCAAAATTAAAAAATCACGTGACGCCGGCGATAAATAGCAAACTCCTTGTTTAAAAGATAAAAATTTAGTTTTTTTTTTTTTTAAAAAAAAAAAAACTCTTCCCCCTTTCCGTCAGATTTCATAGAAATCCGCAGTATACACAATTTTTTTAAAAAATATTTTTTAACCCTTTATGTTGGTATAAAAAGGAGTGAGAACCACTTGGTGGCCTCGACGGAAAGTACTCCTAATACACCCCGTTGCTTTTGGAACAGTTTTTTCATAACAGTATACCAAAATTTTTATAGTTATGTCATCTTCAAAGTCTTTACACATTTTACCTTCCCTTGAGAAAAAATATCCCCTTGACGTTTCTTTTTCAAAATTTCACGTGACTCGTCCTAATCGAGCTGGTTACAACAAGATTTATAAAATCAGAAGATCAAAAAGTTTCTTTTTTGAGCTTATCGATCAGCCTACAGACACCAATGAAATTCACCTTAAAATACACACAAATGATTATCACATGAAAAATACTCAAATCAGTTATCCTAACACAAGTAAACTCCCTAACAACAAATACCAAATTAGTGTTATGCTCACGCATTTTTTTTCTTTACAAAGAGTCTTACCCAGGCGTATTCAACAAAAATTTTTTACTTTTATCCGAGATAAATTAGTACAGCGCAAGGAGATGATCATGTCAAGTGCTTGTAAAATTGATTCTCGTAACACTAGCACAAAAAATTTTTTTAACTTCACCTACAAATGATATCGTTTTCACTTTGGAATATATATTCCTTGTTCTCATAATCATATCATTCCTGGATTTTCTGAATACACTCCTGCTAAAAGTATTTGTAAAGTACCGGCACCATTCATAATGTCTGACTTTAGAAGGGCTTGCGTTTTACATCAACCTTTATTCTTCAAAAATGATGTGTTTACACATATTAAAAACCCCAAAAAAGATTTAAATATTGATCATGAAAATATTTCAATAAACTCAAAGGCTTATCATGCTAATCTTTTATACACTCGATGGAATTCACATAGAACAAAACAAATTTATTCCCAAAGATTAGGAATTTCTTTCGACAAGATGATTCACGCTCGTGATCGTTACTCTATCACACATCTTAATAATAAACATATATATAGAAAAAAGCTTACCAACTTTTCAATTGAACGTAGTCACAACCCACGAGTGAGCAAGGCTCAAGAAATTCATTTTGATCGGGCTAAAAGACGTATTTTCCATAAGAAAGAACATAATCTACTCGATCTTGAACATCACAAAATTGCTACTGCACAAAGATATCGGTTTATGTTTACCAAATCACAATTTGTTCTTAGACTCATCAAACACCTTCTTTACAACCACGGTCTCCATCATAGAAATTATAAATTTTGGACCCCCTTTTTTGGACGCTCTGGTAAAAGGATTAGGACTACCACATTTGACGACACTTCATCACCTGTTCTTAATTCTACAGTGGCCCCGTACAACCTGATCCCTAATATGTTTATTCCCTACAAATACAGAAATATAATTCCTAAGGAACCACTTTACACAGATGAGGGTGTATACATAGTTCCAGGTTCTAGAGAGTGGTTTACTTATATGTACAATTTACACATTAACATACCCCCACCCTTATGAAAGCTTAACGCCGTGCTATACGACTCGAGAATGAGCGTATTGAAAGTAACAAAAAAACAAAAGAAGATGCTATACTTCATGGGACTTCATTTAATCGTGTTAATATACGAAAATATACAGCTTTTACGTTAACTAATGGTGACCATTTTCATTACGAGATGACAGAATTTAAAGACCAATATTTGGAATCTGATGATGATAATACCAAATCACGCATTGATATGCAAATGAATAATTTCTCCGCACAATTTAAAGATATCTTCAAAAGGCATATTGCCAACATCCCATGAAGGGATATCCTACCTTTGGGTGCGACAGAGGATACTTCCGATGACGCTAAAGAACTTGAATTAAGACCTAAAAAATGAAGGATTTCTTCGCTTACTAATCTTTATCCATTATTAGATAACAAAGAACGATTTAAACGAATGTGCTCCTCTCCTGCCTCTATGGACGACTTAATAGGAGTGGATCTTTATTGATTTTATAGTTTTATATTAGATTCTGAGTCAAAAATTTTTTTTACTTTCCAGTAGTTTAATTTCTACATCTAATTTTTGTTTATTATATCACACAATTTATATGTATACGCAAAAAACAATTTAGAATAGTGTGAATCATTCCAACTCTGACAGTATTTACGGTTGTCGACCTTTTTGGTCAAAAGAAAAATATGGAACTTCTTTTTTTATAGATGTTTGCTTTTTTTTATTTTTTTGGTTACCGGTCTGTCAATGTTTCTTTATTGGTAGTGGTAGAGGAACATTCTATATAACAAGTAGTAGGGTCCATTTTTAATGGATGATGGGATAAATGTTGGATAGTTTCTTTTAGCTAGTATGTCCACTTAGATATCCTTTCCGACCTCACATAAAATAAATAAATAAAAATTTAGTTTTTTAAAAAATTAATTAATAATCAACTATCATTAAAAAAGAAGATAAAAATCTGTGTATCTATTGATTCAATTCAGTATACTTATATGTAAATTTCCAATTAGATTTAAGAAGAAAAATATTTAATTGCTTTTTTATATAAAAAAAACAGTAGTCAAATAATATTAATAAAGAAGAAAAAAATTTAAAAAGAAAAAAAAATATATTAACATTAGTAATCAAAAATCAGGAATTCACAGCCTCTAGCATTATTTCTTATCCCACAATTTTTAACAAAAAAAAAAATATAAATATAAGTACCAGTTGACCGTATGGGTGGATGTCCCCCAGCATTACCCACAAATTTTCAACTATATATATAAAACTTAATTTTAGCCTGAATTGTCAAGCATTTATTTATTAAAATTTGAAAATATTTTTATAATTAAATAATTCATGATTTTTGGAGCAACATTTTGCTGATCACTAATTAAATTTGGAAAATTGCAGAAATTAGCCATTAGAAACATGATTTATTTATATTTGTAAAAAGGAGGTAGCTGAAATTCACATGTGATACTGTAATTACACACCTTAATTGGAGTGCTTTTTTTTATAACTTTATTTTGTTTCAAAATTTTAATAGTGAAAAGCATAGCATAGTGGACATGCTTTCATCACTTTGCTGATCATTCATCGATCATATAATACATCATGTCACATTAATTTTGAAGTTATGGTTAAAGCCATAAAATGCTTAGCCAAACTATACTAATGTTTTTTTTAGCAGTATAATTTATGAAAAATAAAAAAAATTATATTGTCAAAGTTAACCTTAAACCAAAATTTTCAACAATTAGATAACTGTTTAAAGAATTTTTTGATAAATTTAATATGCAGTAAATTTAAATGAATGTTAAACTGTCTATAAAATTATTATTATGTAGGATTTTCAACCAAAGTAATTAACAAAATTGTGATAAAGTAAAAATGAATGATAATCATTTCATTGGTGCTTAATAATTACCTAAGATGAAATGATTAATCAGTTACTGCGATTTTGTAATAATTGATCTACATTCCAGTTTGTTTGTCATATATGCAATGATGCAATGCTTGTACTTGTGATCAACGCTTTTGCACATAATGTATTTTGCATAAATATTATTACCATATTTATTCATACTAATAAAGGCGCTCAATAATAAAAAAAAAAAAGAAAAGAAATAAAAATATTTACTTTATCCTTTTCCAGTTGGGAAGAATTTGAGAATTTTGATATAGTAATGGACCAATGTATTAAAGGTAGCTGAAATATTTTTTTATTTATAAACAATTCATGTTTAATATTTTACATAATTCAACTAATTATATTCTTAATTTAAATAACTAGATTGTAAGTAATATATATAATTTACAGTAAATGCCTTTATATTATCTTTATATTTAACTAATTAATAATTAATAATACTACAGGGTGTAAGTTATATGATATCTATATTTGCATTATTTATATAATTTAAACTAACTAATTTCTTTATTTAAAAAATTATTTCATAGATGGTAAGTTATTTATTTAATTCTATTATTACCTATTGTTATAATATTTACATAT